GTCAGACAGGGTACTACTGTGTGTCAGTCAGTACCAACCTGATAGGTTCAGGTGTCTGTATGGTTAGCCAGAACTGATAGGTTCAGGGTCTGTGCTTTATTGAAAGGTGTTCTGTGTGAACCAAACTGGTGTATATATGATTGAGACTAAGCCACGTTACTGTATCTTATTCACTTGATCATTTTATTTTCCCTGTGTGTAATTTAAATAAACCTTATTCCTTTGTTTGTTTAAAAATCCATTCCTGGTCTGTGTGACTCCTTACAGGGAATGGTTGGTGGCAGCTTAGTGAAACTGTGGCATATCCCAGTAGGTCTGGGTTTGTCACAACTCCCACTGTCAACAAGATTACTGCTGGATAGTAGTGTGCCTTTAAAAAAAATCTGATGTTTGGTCTGGAAATTACTGTTCCCTGAAACACCAGTTACCTCTTGTAAAAACAACACCTTATTTGTTGTTGTTGTTTTTCCATTATGTTGAATACCACCACTGTTTACCAACTACTGAATATATAATCGGCCAGACCTTTATAAGAAGCATGCATGAGTGATTCTAATTATCTCACTTCAGCAGCTGTGGAACACTTTAATTTTGTTCCAGACAAAGTATGATTGTGTTGAAACTGTTTAAGGGTAAGGCCAGTATCCTGTTGAGGGAATATGGAGCAGAAATGCACTCACATAAACATTCCCACTGCTCCAGAAGACTACCAGCTGTATGACCAGTTATGCAACCAGCTCATGTCACAAGAAGCTTGCTGAAGCAAGGGGAATATATACACAACTGCCCTTCCACTCTGTATTCTTTCTGCAGCATAGTGGTCCAAGACCTTTTAGTTCACAGTATATATTAATAAGCTAGATTTCTTTACAGTTGTGTCCATACATATAGAAAAAGCAATTTCACAAGTACTGTAAGTTAAAACCTTTCTCTTCAGGTAGGCTTCCCTTTAGTAACTGGTTGTCTGTAAGAGGAGTTTTTAAAGACAGGATGGTTTGTACTTTTGTTGCACTTAAATCTGTATTAGAAATGTTTTTATGTTTTAATATGATGAGTTAATTCTTTTAAAATATTCAAATAACTTTCTACTTTTAATATTTTTTAAATTATGTAAGCCACCTTGGGTCCTTTTTGAAAAAATTTTTTTGAAGAAAGATGGGTTAAAAATATTTTAAATAAATACATTCTTTATTTATGTAGGCTGGCCCATTTATTTATCTAAGGCTGGCCTTAGAAGCCACCTTGGGTCCTTTTTGAAAAAATAATTTTTTTGAAGAAAGGTGGGTTAAAAATATTTTAAATAAATACATTATTTATGTAGGCTGGCCCATTTATTTATCTAAGGCTGGCCTTAGAATCAATTGACTCAAGAGGAAACAAGCAAGTTCCTAAAGCAAATTTCTTTGGACTCTGAAGACAGCCATAGGCAGGCAATTACCACACACAGGGCCAGAGCTTTGAAATCTCATTACTGTACCTGTCTTAACAATGCCCATTACCTGTGTTAATAATGCTTTGAAAGCTCATTATCTGTGACTGTTTGCCTCTTTACTCAGTCTCCGCCCACACATCTGCATATGCTGCGGATATATATATATATCCGTGACTAAAAACTGAATTCCATGTATCTAAGGAAGTGAGTTACCAATCCATGAAATTTCACACTGTAATAAATTTGTGTTTAAGGTGTCAGAATCCTTTTTTTGTTTGTTTGTTTCTTTTTGTTATACTTGGTGGAACAAACTAACACAGCTACTTCTTTGAAAAGTGTAGCAAGCTGCCCTACATTGCGTCAGACCATGGTTCCTTCCATCTCAGTATTGTCTGTAGACTAATTAGCACTGCAGGGTTTCAGATAGGATCCTTTCTAGCCTAACCTGGAGATGAGAAGGATTGTACAAGGAATTGTCTGCAAATTAGATATGCACTCTCCCACTGTGCTACAGCTGCTTCACTCTTGAGTCATCTACCGCCCATCCAACAGACTACTTCTGTATGTGTCTATTGTTGCTACATGCCATAATGTTATCTTGCTTCCAGTGTATGGTGACCCTATGAATTACTAACCTCCAAAAGTCCTGTCATTAACAGCCAAGTTCCAATCTTGAAAGTGAAGGGCCATGGCTTCCTTTATTGAGTCAACACAGTAGGACCCCTATATCAATGGAGGATCGGTTCCAAGCCCCCCACAGATGCTGAACACTTCATTCTAGGAAAAAGCAACAGGCAGGCACTGAGCGGCTCCTCAGAACCTGCTCCAGCTGAACTGCCCACTTGCCCTCCATCCAGGCACGTACCACCAAATGTCCTGTCCTGTAAGGATTCTCAGGCAGGTGGAGGAAGGCATCAAACGTATTTCACGACTGTCCCCTCTATCACATACAGTCATGTATAATTGTTCTAAACTGTGTGTCCAACATATTTGGCTATATCTTAACATGCACATGTATTGTCAGAAGCTTGAAAAAGCTATTGATTGAAAGTATTTTATCAATAATGCCTGAGTAGGCAACGTTTCTTAATTATTTTATTACAGAATTGTTCCAAAATAGTAATAATCTTTAACATGTGGGGATTGTAATCCATAGGTTTTAGTGCCTCTCCCCATCTACAATATGCTATATTGGTAAATAACTGTATTATTCACATATTATACTGAACTGCTGCCTGTTACCATCAATGTGCCCAAAACGCACACTCACAATCTAGTGATAAGAGGTATTCATATCTGAAGTTTGTTGTACATCACTTTGCCTTGGCTCCAGCAACACTAGACACACTTCATCAGTTTATTTCATTTTAGGTCAGTGAAGCATTTGGATGGTGATTTTCTGTCAAATTTTTAAAAAATCACCCAAGTATCTTGCACAAGATGCAACTTTTTATTTATGGATTGTTACCTCTTGTATTGCTATCATGTGTTGATGGAAATAATCCTGACTGTAACAAAACAAAAATGATCCTGACTGTAACAAAACAAAGCACACTGAATTTGTATGTTCTTTTCCTTATACTAATGGTTCACAACTGCCCAAATATTTAGGAATATTTTGTAATTCATTCCCAAGAGCCACAGCCAGAATGGCCAACAGTCATGAATTCTAGAAAAGAAGCCCTGAAATAATGTTCATCTTGCAGACCAAAGGTCCAAAATAATTTTTTTAAGACGAGTGTTACTCTAAGTTTTGTTGTTTTTATGTGCCCACATGATCTCTTCAAATCTCCTGTTCAGCTCTTATAAGCTTAAGACTGTGGCTTCCCTTAGGGCATCAATCCATCTCGTATTTGGTCTTTCTCTTTTCCTACTGCCTTCAACCCCTCCCAGCATTATTCTTTCCAGAGAATATTGCCTTCTCATGATGCGTCCAAACTAGGCCAGCCTCAGTTTCAACATGTTTGTCTCCAGAAATAGATAGTTCAGGCTAAATTTGTTCTACAATCCACTTGTCCATCTTTATGGCAGTCCAAGATATCCACAAAGCTCTCCACCTGCACCACATTTCAAATGAATTATTTTTTTCCTTGTCAGCTTTCTTTACCGTCCAGCTTTCACAACCTTACATGGTGATCAGAAATACAAGAACGTGGTGGTCTTGGTCTTGAATGACACATCCTTGATTATCTTTTCGAGTTACTTACTGTGTTGCTGCCCTTCCAACTATCAGTCTTCTTTTAATGTTTGGCTGCAGTCCCCATTTGGACTGATGACTGAACCAACGTATATAAAATCTTTAACTACTCCAACTTCCTCATTGTCAGTGTTAAAGTTGTGTAGTTCTTCTGTAATCATAATTTTTGTCTTCTTAATGTTCAGCTGCAATCCTGCTTTGGCACATTCTTCTTTCATTTTTCCTAACAGTCCTTTCAAGTAATTGCTGCTTTCTGCCAGTAAGATGGGGTCATCTGCGTATCTTAAATTACTGGTGTTTCCTCCACCAATTTTCACCTTTTCTTTATCTGAATTTGGTCTGGCTTTCCATGTAATATATGTTCTGCTTACAGATTAAACAGATAAGGAGATAAAATACTGCCTTTTCTGATATCTTTGCCTAAAGGAAACCATTGTCTCTCCATATTCTGCCCTAACAGTAGCTTTTTGTCCACTATACAGGTGGACAATCAAATGCTGAGGCACACCAATTTCTTGTTTGGTTTCCATACACTCAAAAGCCTTGCCTTAGTGTATAAAGCATAGACTGATCTTTGGATTCTTTGGTGCGCTCCTGTAGCCAGTGGATATGTGCAATGTGATCTTGAGTGCATCTTCCTTTTAGTCAGTCCAGCTTGAACATCAGGCATTTCTCACTTCACATAAGGTAAAGACCTTTGTTGCCAACACTTTGAGCATCACTATGCTTGCATGAGAAATTAGAGCAAGGTCCTGTAACGGCTGCATTCCTTGGCATAAGTAAGCATACACAAGGTTACAAAAGATAATCAGCAATCTGGCCAGCGAACGAAAGTCCTAATGTAACAACTTGGGTCGTCTCTTTGCATTCCGTTGCAATCCAGCTAACTGCAGTATGTCCTGCGAGGCGATCAGGGACTGCATTCATCCCACACAGACAGGATGAAATCCCGTCGATTTGTATTTTCCAAGGAAGTAAACTGCGTTAGTTTGTATCAGCATGTTGACAAGAATAAAGAGGGAGGGGAGAAGAAAAGGCAAAATTCTGCAGCACTTACAATATGTATTTCAGCGTCAGCTTTCGTTAATCAAAAAAGAATTTTCCAGGCACCCAATGAGTATCCAAATAGGATTTGGATTCACGGATACAAGTGGATGTCTTAGTTTTTAATGTGACGCAATATTTTGCCTTCTCCCGCCCTGTATATTTCCTGCCCACTTAGAATCATATGCTCTGCGATCCACGCGCACAGGACGCAGGGAGACTGAGCAAGCGCGCTCACGTCACGAGCGTGCGGAGCCGGAAAGAACGGCATAGGCGGAGTTACACCTCCCGTCATCGCGCAACGGCGCCAGCGGTTGGCGACTCGTCTCCTTAGCTGCCTTGCTGCCGTCTCGGGTTAAATTTCGAGCGACTGTCCCTTTAAGGCAGCACGGGCGCGAGAAAAGATGCGCCTTGCGCCTGCGCGCCGGAACCTTGACCTCGCGCTCGCTAGGCGCTGCTCGTGACTACCTCTTGTTGTTGTTGTTGTTTGAACGGAAGGGGGAGGGGGGAAAGCACCGTTTTCCGTTCGATTTTTTATTACTGAACCGGTAGTGGCCATACGGTTGCCATAGCGACCTGGTCCCAAGACCGGCCCGGCCTGGGATCGAACCCCAGAAGCCGAGGCCATGGAGGAACCGGGAACAACCGCCTCCGCCTTAGAAGGAGACAACGTAACGTCTGAAGTGACGGAGATCCGGGTCTCTGGTCCGCAGCCTCTGAGGCTCTTAGAATGGAAAGTCTCGGCCGGAGCGACGGTGAAAATTGGGTCGGTTCTGGCGGTGTGCGCACCCATCCAGGTCCCCGCCCGGCCTGGAACTCCGCTCGCCCAGGCCGGCCCGCAGCGGGCAGCCGAGCGGAAGGTCAAGGCGAAGAGGCCCGGAGTGGTGCGAGAACTGTGCGCGCAGCTGGGACAAGTTATCCCGCCGGGGTAAGGAAAAGAGGCGGCGGGGCTGGGGAAGCGGGAGGTGGGCCCGGCGGGCTCCCGGCGAACGTTGCCTTCAGGCCCCAGAAGGCGCCCTTGCGTGTGTGTGTGTGTGAGGGAGGGAGGTCCTTCTGCCTCTCTTTGAGACTCGTCGCCGGAGCTTAAAAGCACCTCAGCTTTGCAACGGCAGCGGTGGGCGCTCGGGCAGCTGCTCTCCCCTCTGCCGACGGCTGAGTGTGAGGCAAGAGGAGTTGAAAGGCGAGAAAGCACGGAAGGAGCAGCCCCTGCCTTCCCCGCCCTCCTGCGCTGCGGACGCCTTGGCAACGTCCGCTCTGCTGCTGCTCCTCCTCTTCCCCGGTTACGCGACCCGACGTGTAAATGGGCCTCCTGTCTCTGTGTGTCGGTATCAATTTGTCTCTGGGGCTGGACCCGTCAGACTTCTTCTTTTTCACTTTTCTGTGTACATTCTGTTGCAAGGCGGAGTGGGAAGAAGGAGGGGGAAATCCGTGAGATGGTGGAGACACAAACATTTAAAGTGTTAAGCCTTGTTAAGAGATCAGGCAAGAAACAAAACAGGCTAAAACAGCAAATAAAAATTATTTGGGGGAAAAAGAAGAAAACAAAAACCTTGTGGCATCTTAAATACTAACTGTTATAGTCCAGTATGAGCTTTTGTGGATCAAGTCTGCTTGCTCTGAGGAGTCAATCTTCTGCAGTTTAGTTGTTTAAATTGGTGAAACTACCCCCAGGAGTGAAAACTGTGTGGTGCTGCTTGGCGGGTAGTGTGTAGCCTGTGCACCTCTTACCACACTCAATGGAATTTTCTTTTCTTACATTTACCAAAACCAATTATAGTAGTAAGTGGACTTCTCCTCTCAGTACTACAGTTTACTCTGTGTTTATTTAAAGTTAGCTATGCTGCATTGTATTAATGATGACAGCATTATCTAAGGTGGGTCTTGCTTCTGGTCTTTACAGCAAAGATCAAATGTAGTGTTTGTTGCTATCAGCATAATATCTAAGATTAGATAGGTAGAGGCAGGGTGGATTTGACTTAAATAATAAGTTCAGTTTTAAAATTTGATTGTTTTTATTTAACTTGTGATTTAAATCTATTAGATTTTTTTAAAAAACAGATTTTTTTTAAAGTCCATCATGAGTAGCGGCAAGCTATTTGAAGGTATCTTGATTACTACAGTAAAAAGATGGGCTATAGAACAGAAAAAGAAGAGTGTGTTATATGACAAAAGTAGAGTACCTCTTTTAGCCTGAGTGTCAGCTTCAGCTTCAGAGGGGTCCTGGGGGTGTATTCCAGTGGTGGGTGAAGGAAAGGATGTGAGAAATAACATTGTGGCGGAAACCCATGTCATGCCTGTCCATCATGGTGAGCTCAAGGGCGGGAGCCTATGAGAGGACAGGAGGGGCAGAACCAAAAAGAACAGTTAGACAGTTAGAGAGGGGAGTTGGAGAAAAAAGGTTGGAGACAGGGAATTGAAGAGAGAGAGAGTTAGGAGAGTGAATTGAGAAAGAAGACAGAGATTGGAAAGTGGGAATGATAGAGAGAATGGGAAAGAGGTCAAAAGTATAGAGAATAAATAGATAGTCAATGAATATTGTAAAAGTGAATGAAAACACAAACCAAAGTAAAATCAAATGATATATAATGAATAATTCTAAAAAAATCTGTGATTTACTCCTGTGATTTGCATAACAACTATAAAATAAATAAATATGTTGTATTGGCAGTACATGTCTAAGATCCATCTATTTGGTATTGAGGAAATATTATCTGGTGGCAGTGTGAAGTGAGGAAACGCATCCAGAGGGTGGGCTTGTGTTTAAGGGAAAATAAACAGAGGACTCAGGGTGGACATGATAAAGTGGTGAACAGCGGCAGGATTCAAATAGAGTCCAGTAAGGCCAAAGAAAAGAGTAAAGTCCTGAGTCAAAGAGACCTATTAGTCAAGGAGGTCTGGCGTGGATGGAGTGGGGAAATTCTAGGGGTTTTGGAAAAAACTTAGTAGAGGGGCTCCTGAACACAGATCGGGGACTAAGATAGGGCAAGACTCTGAGGAAAATTTTTCTGTTAGAGGATTACCTCAAGATTTTGAAAGACCTGTGGGCTAGCTGGATCCTAGACTCCAAGAAGGGAAAGCTGAATAGGACAAACGTGGAAGCCAGGGTCAGACACAGATCTGAGGGAGCTGGAGCAAGCAGAGGCTTGGAAAAACAGAAAAATAAAAGTAATCTGAAATAGCTGGAGGCCAAAGGAAACAATGTATCATATAAGGAACAGCACGGTTAGGTGCCTAAAAGTAACAACGTAGCAAATCCGTGGCTGTCAGTGGGAAGCTACAAAGTAGAAATTTCTAACAGAAAAGGAAAAAAGCACTTTAAACTGAGGCTTTGCTTTGCTTAACTACAGTATATCTCTCTGCAGAACAAACCCCACTAATCATAATAAATACACGTACTTATGTCTCATAAAAGAGGAAAAAAGAGTGTGATGCAAGGAGCTGATCCTGAGGAGACACAACAAGGGTTACCTCAGGAAGTTGAGGGAAATGAAGTTCTTATAGCAGTGGAGCAGGAGGGTACCTCAGGAAGAGAAAACTTCCTAGAGTTTCAAAAATGGAAATTAGAGAAAGAATGGGAATTCCAGTTAAAACAATTAGAAATAAAAACTAGAGCTGAGGCCAGGCAGCTGGAAATAAGAGAAAGGGCTGAAGTAGAAAAGAGACAGATAGAAATGAGAGAAAAAGAAATGGCCATGAGGAAAAAAGAGATGGAACACCAATTAAAAATGAGACAATTAGAGTTAACAGCTCTCAATAGTAATAATAATAATTCAGCGGCTGAGGGGGTCTCAAATGTAGACCTTAAGAAATTCCCGCAATTCAGAAAGGGTGGCAACCCTGAAGAATTCTTAATTCTGTTTGAGAGAGCCTGTTGGGACTATGGGGTTGGAGAATCAGATAAAATGATTGTTTTAAGAACTCAAATAAGTGAACTGGCAGAAATATATTCCCAAATGCCCCAAGACCAAGCAAGAGAATATGAGGCTTTTAGAAAGCTGGTTTTCGTGAAGTTTGGGATCAATGTTGAACATCTCAGAAGGAAGTTCAGGGCATTGACAAAGAGACCTGAGGAATCATATTCCCAATTAGGAGCCAATATGGTCGGAAAAATTGTTAGAACAAGCCAATGTTGAATCTTTAGAGGACATGAAAAATATTATAGGGCTAGAACAATTTTATTCAGTTTTGCCTGGAGAACTAAGATATTTAGTCAGGGACAAACAGCCCAAAACAGTACAACAAGCAAGCGAGACTGCAGATTATATATCAGAAATCAAAAATCCAAAATTTTCTGAGGTAAAATTTGGTGGTAAAAGCTGGGAGGGAGACAAGCCCCCTTTCTCTGAACAGAGAGGCCCAAAAATGTGTTATGGCTGTGAAAAACCAGGGCACTTCATTTCTCAATGTCAAACATCAAAGAGTAAAGACTTTAGTCTAGAGAAAGAAGTGGGAAATGTTCTAAAGAAGGTTTACTATACCCAACAGCAGAAAGACAATTCTGAGGCAAGTCAAAATGGCATTTTAACTGACAGAACAGAGTGTCAGGAACAACTGCTACCTATAGCAGAGATTGTTCACTGCTACTATATTAAAAGCAACATGGAGTTGATGTGTTGTTCTGGAGAAAATATTTATATTAATAACATCAAATATCTGGCATTGAGAGACTCTTGTTCTCAAATAACTTAATGTCATACTGAGATTATACTACAGGAGGACATCATTCAAAATGAAAAAATTACAGTAAAAGGAATTGGGACAGAATTGATTAATCTACCTGTGACTAAAATACATGTAAACTATAGAGTGGATTAGTATGTGGAAAATAGCTATTACAGATCAGATCCCTGCACCTTGTTTAATTGGACTAGATTTAATTGAGCATGTTAAGAATGTTTTAGTAACTACTCACTCCCAGAAAGAAAAAAAGGAAGCATCTGAGGAAAAAGATGAACTCCCTAATGAAATAATTAGAGAGAAAGAAGCAGATGAGACAGCTGATTTAGTGACAATAAGGAATCCTCAAGATAATACTTTAAAAAAGGAACAAAAAGAAGATTCAACCCTAGGACAGTATGTTCAGATGGTTCAAGAAGGACCAATAACGCCTGAGAACCCTGAAAGGTACTTTGTGGAGAAAGGCCTAGTATAGAGAGATCTTAGTAAATCCTCAGAGGGGAGGGGAAAACATTCACAAACATCTGATAATCTCTTCTAAGTACAGAGAACGAAATAGAGAAGAGGGACATACAGACACTTTTGCTGCTCATTTAGGGATCACACAAACTAAGCAGAGAATAGCTCAACGTTTTTACTGGCCTGGAATGGGGAAACAGATAAAGTCATATTGGCAACATTATGACCTATGGCAGAGGCAGGGTGTTGGCAATGAACACCCTAAAGCTAAATTGTACCCTTTACCAATTACATCAACCTCATTTTTGCGCATAGGCCTGAACAAGGTGAGACTAAAGTGACCATAAGGGGAATTTCGCTCACTTCCAGATTAGTGAGAAGGCTGTGGCAACTGTGTGGCATAGCTCATTCTACATCATTCCCAATACTATATTCAGACAAATGGATTAGGGGAGAAGTTTAATGGGACCCGAGTGTGAAGCATCAGAGCTTATGCAGCAGAAAACCCCAAGACATGGGATCACAAAATACAACCCTGGGTATATGCATGCCTGTCTGTATCCCAGGAAAGCACTGAGCTCAGGTCAGTTGAAATGCTGTGTGGATGGAAAGTGTAGGACCCTGGGAAGGGGGGCGTGTGAAGGAGAGAAGGCCAGTGTGCCGTCCTCTATAAAGCAAAGACTGGAGGTGAGTCAAGGTAGTGTGGAGGGGGTGCTAGTAGAAATAGAGCAGAGTGACACGGCATGTAAAGGGTCTGTGGAGGTGTGCCTGGCAGAAGATAAAGGGGAGGAGCAGGATCTAATTGTGTGGGAGGAAGCTACAAGTGAGGGAGCGAATGCGCGGGAATTCAGAATTGTGACGGATGGAGAAGTACCGGAGAGAAAAGAATGTGCGGTGCAGACCGAGCTGAGTGGAGAATTTGGAGAATGGCATGGACTCTTGAAGGACTTTCCTAATCTCCAGCTTGGAGGTGGGTTACTGCCTGACCCGAGGGATTACCGTGCAAAGGGGGAAGATCTTGAACCTCTAGAATGGACCGTGGTTGTGTACCCACGCAATCAGCGTGGGGGGCGGAGGGTAATCCATCCCAGTCCCTCTTTTCTCCACCAACCACGCAAGGGGAACTGGGCGAGACACCCCTGCTGTGGGACAGCCTGTGCCGTGAGGAGTACTCCACTGAGACCAATAACAGACCAGGAGCGGTTTGGTCCGGCCTCTCTGTAAGGAGTGATTTAATAACTCCAGATGTTAAGGTTAAAAGTTACAGAATATTGCCAGAGTTAAGTGTGATGGACCCTTTCGAATCTGTTGAGTTGAGCTTGTTGAATAATAAAAAGAAGAATGTTCAAACTTCAGAAATGCCTCCCGACTATTTTTCCCGCCAAAACACAGGGGCCACCTGAGCAAGAACAAGAACCCAATCACAATGGTGCCCAACGTGGGGCGGTCCCTAAGGTGGGAAAGGAAGATATGACCAAGCTTCAAGGGATTATAGAGAGGCAGGCGAAAATGATTGAGAACTTAACAGAACAGCAAACGTTGTTGGCAAGACAGATGAGGAGGCAAGAGGCTGAAGAAGACAGAGGGGCCAGGGCCACTGTTAGTGTAAAGGGAGGGCTTGTTGCGGGGCACGCTCCCATTAGAATACAGAAAATGAGTGCGTTGGATGACCCTGAGGCGTATCTACACACTTTTGAAAGAGTAGCATTGTAGCGTTGGCGGCCAGTTGGCCGCGAGAGCAATGGACCTTGATTCTTATTCCGTGCCTCACCAGGTTACTGCAGGAGGTGGTGGACACGCTTAGTCCGGAGGCAGCCACCCAGTATGACATGGTAAAAGCGGCAATCTTGCGAACCCTGAATTTGACTGAGGAGGCGTACCGCAAGCGGTTTCGGGAGTTGAGGTGGAAGCCGGGGGTCCACCCTTGTACGTTAGCGCAACAGATGAAAGCGAATGCTATGAAGTGGCTGAAGCCGGAGGATAAGACTAAAGACCAGCTAGTCGAGGCGATAGTTTTGGAACAGATAGTGAACATGTTGGGAACCGCGGTGAAGGGGTGGGTACAGAGGAACAACCCGAAGACTTTGGAGGCGGCGCTTCGCTTGCTGGAGGATTACAATACGGCAGAGGAGTCTGCTAAAGAAAGCCCCGCCCCGTGGGGAGAGTGAGGTAAACCATAAGGCGAGGCTCCACCCGCAGGCAGAGGGCTCATTCTGAAGAGAGGAGGCGAGATGAACGGATCAGCTAGGCCAAAGGAGAGAAGCTTTGAGCCCATGGGCCCCAAGCCTGTGAGGCCCATTACAGTGGACCAACGTTTGTATGCACCTGGGACCGGATGGCGCAAGGGAAAGGACGGCCAGCCAATTTGCTATGGCTGCAGGCTTCTGGGCCACATAAGGAGAAATTGCCCCGGGACAGATTGTTCATGAGTGGGGCAACAGGAGACTTCGCAGTCAATTGCTCTGACTCCGGTGGAACATTGGGAGGTGCATGCGTGGGTTAACGGGGAAAAGAAAAAGGCGCCGATAGACACTGGCTGTGGCAAAGCGCTTGTACGACACTTGGAGGGGGAGAAGAAGAATGAGGGGTTGGTGGTGAGATGTGTGCATGGGGATACGAAGCAATATCAAACCACGTGGGCAAAAATGAAAGTGGGGAATGAGGAGAGGAGGATGAACATAGGAGTGGTGCCGTGGTTATCGAGGGAGATGTTGTTGGGACGGGACTGAATCGGACAACGTAATATCGAAACCATTAAGGATGGGCTTCAAGGTGATTGCACGAAGGTTGAGGATGAGTCAGATTTTTTACAGGACGCAACGCGCAGACATATGAAACTATGGCAGCAGCCATTAGAACGATGTTCTAATGGGAAAAAGCTTTACGATGATTGGTTCCCTCCTTTGGGAACCGATTTTTCGCTTTACGACGATCAAAACAGATGATCGTTGGGTTTCCAAAATGGACGCCTGTTGTGCAAAATGGCTCCCCGCTGTTTTTAGGATGGATTTTTCACTATACAGGGAGCAGAAAATGGCCGCCCAATGGAGGATCTTCGCTGGACGAGCAGGTATTTCGCCCATTAGAATGCATTGAATGGTTTTCGATGCATTTCAATGGGGTTTTTTATTTCGCTTGACAACGATTTCACTCTACAGCGATTTCACTGGAACGGATTAACGTCATCAAACAAGGCACCACTGTATCTTTATCTTTTCATCTCTGTTTATGATGAGTAACTTTATTTCTTCATGGATATTTTCTGTCCTTGATCAGTCCTGTTGCCAGTATTATATGTAGCAGCATATTTCACTGTTACAATTTGGTTAAATCATGTGCAGTGCCTGTGGGATTATGCATGCTGAACCCTTTTCTAACTGCACACAGCTGGGAAGGAGTCATGAATAAATGTAAACTTGTAATTTTACATCCAGTGCAAAATATTATGGAAACACAAAAGCTTAGGCTCTGATTAGTTTTTGAAATTGAAAACCGCATTTTTCAGCTGTTTTCATTTCATAAACTTATCAATTGTGTCTTAAGAAACTATTGTACTTCATTGTTTAGAAATCGTTATACAATTAGTTTTATGATGGAGTATCTTGGTTTTGATTCCTGCAATATCAGTGATCTAAGAGAATGGATGGTGATGTAAATTGTACTTGTTTTTTAAATAATTAAATATGAGAAATTATTTCCCTTCAAACTTCTGATGTTTCTGAAAAGTGTCAATAGTGACACACATGCTTACTTTTTTAAAAAAAGTACTATGTGGCCCTTGTATACAATCCAAGGACAAGGCTGTGTGATATCTTTATTAGACAGCTAAAATTCATAAACAAGCTAACTTTCAATCCATAGAGATCTTCATCAGGCTAGTGTCACAGAGGTGTGCTTGGTGCAGAACAAACATAAAAGCTGCAAAATCTTGTCCACATGTCCAGGCCAGACTTCTCTGCTTAAAGCAAGTTTCAAAATGGGGACTGCAGACTCAGGTCAGAGTTGTGGGTTTCAGATTTCTCCTCTGGTGGTATGAATTGGAATGTCTCTCTCAAACTTCTTAGACAATAGGGCTGCCTGTCATTCAGCATTTACCCCTTCTGTATTGCCCTATCTGAAACACAGTCCCTTTTGGGCTGAAGATGGAAGTAAGGAGAAATGTGACAAACCATTGTGAGATAAGTTGGGATAACTTTTAACCTACTCAGTGTTTGCTTGGGGTTTTACAGGTTACTAAAAAAGCTGGTACTCTGAACAGAAAAATTGCTCAAAGTAAAATGATGTTCAGGTGGAAATAATGCTGTTAGTATTACAATGAATAGTACTGTAAGGTTAAGTTAAACTATTTAATTCTGATTTTATTCTTCTGTATATTATTTTGTGACACCTATTCCATCAAGGTTTTAATTTTAGCATGTAAAAGGATTTTTCATTTTTGTTATTGCTGAATATGATAGCTATTGTATTTTTTCATGTATAAGACTATACTTTTGTTTAAAATCTTTAGACTAAAAATTTAGGGTCGTCTTATACACAGAAGTAAGCTGAGGAAAGAACAAAGTGGAGGGGAAAGCAGGGATCAAAGTGATCCTGCATGGCTTTGATCCCTTCTTTCTTCTCCACTTGCTAAGCCTTAGCAAAAGGAAAGCAGGGATCAAAGCGCTGCAAGATGGCTTTGATCTCTGCTTTCCCCTCTGCTTACTAAGTCACATGGGGCTTGGAAAAGGAGGGGGGAAAGGATCAATGCAATCCCATGGTTGTATAAAGGGAAAAGGGATCAAAACAATCATGCAGTGGCAGGATTGCTTTGATCCCTTTCCCCCTCCTTTTGCTAAGCCCCGTGGGGCTTAGCATGAAGGGATGAAGGAGGGATCAAAGCAATCCTGCAGTGCTTTGATCCCTTCCCCCCTACACCTGCTAAGTCCCACTTACATTTCTTAATTTGGGGTTAGAAAAGTGGAAGGGTCTTATACATGGGGGCATCTTATACATAGAAAAATACAGTATATTAGCTTTATTGGCTATAAAGACTGTTTCATTCAGGGCTAGCACAGAGCTAATGCTAGCTGGCTGATTACAGTGGTTAAGAACTCAATAAAGGATGGCAAGTCCTTGTGTTCTCTTGTATAAAACAAGAATATTAAAGCTAAAACAAAGTGTGTGTGTGTGTACACAGATACAATATAAAATTCAGTAGAATCAGATTTTCGCTGAATCAGATTATACTTTGTTTTCCAGAGGTATACTGGTGAGGCTGGAAGGATGCAGCCATCCTGTTGTTATGAAAGGTCTATGTGCAGAATGTGGCCAGGATTTGACACAGTGAGTAGTCTTGTGTGGGACTGGATTTATGCCAGGTATGTTTGATTAAATTTGAGGACTGTGACCACTATGAAACATATAAAATCCCTTGGGAAATGCTGTTTCCATGCTATTTAGAACAACTTGTGCCTTTAGTTTTCACTTAAGTAATACCAGAAATAACTGGCCAATATGGAGCATGCTTAACCACTCCACAATGTTGCAAATAGAAATATACAACTGTTTGAAAATAGGTTGTATTGTATATTTATTAAATACATGCAGTGAACAGAGAACGTAGTAGCTAGAAACACAGGTATGTTGATCAGCAAAGCAAGCTAATGACTATAGACTGAAGAATATAAAACAGACCCTAATTTGCTTGGTAGGTAAACATGAGTCAGCCGTTTGGAACTGCATGCTTGCCAGCCTTTTTTACAGTCAGAACCAACAGCCAGAAGATTAATTTTGTTGTGGAAGTCTGATAATTGTTCAGGCCTTTAGTAACGTGGTGACACTGCGAGTTAAACCGCTGAAGCCTCTGTGCTGCAAGGTCAAAAGACCTGCAGTCATAAGATTGAATCCACGCGACAGAGTGAGCCCCTGTCGCTTGTCCCAGCTCCCGCCAACCTAGTGGCTCGAAAGCATGCAAAATGCAAAAAAAGTGAGTAGATAAACAGGTGCCACCTCGGTAGGAAGGTAAACGACGTTCCATGTCTAGTCACGCTGGCCACGTGACCACAGAGGATTGTCTGTGGACAAAACACTAGCTCTGTGGCTTGGAAACGGAGATGAGCACCACTGCCTAGAGTCGGACACGACTGGACAAATTGTCAAGGGGAACCTTTACCTTAGTAATAAAGCCAGTTTTATTCCAATTTGTACCCATTGATTTAACAAAGGCTAAATAGGATAGTTCCTGTGTAACTGCTGAAGAAAAAATCCTGCTGGTCATGGATGTCATATTGCAATTCATGTGCAAATGAAGCAGGTGGACAGATGTCAACTTCACATAAGATATATACAGCTGCTTTTGTACCTAGCTTAGTTGTCACCTGCCAGCTAAGCATTCCATCTGGTAAAACAGGGTAGAGGAGACAAACAGGACCAGTCCATAAGCTTTATAGAGGAGCCTTTTGGTTCTTTCTCTCCTTGAACTGTTTCTATCCCAGCCGGAATGGGATGCACTTTGTAATATTAAAAAGGGCTAGCTGCATTTGCCTTTTTCCATCTCTCTTTCCCTCACTTTTTCCTTTCATGTAAGTTTTTAAATTTTAAAATGTTTTAAGAATGTGTCTGTAAGCTACTTGAAGAACTTTCAGATGGAAGAACGAAGAAAAATACTTCAAATAAATATGTTTATTATTAAGACCTTGATATTAGGAAGAGTTATTCCTAGTATCTTGGGCTGTAATCCTAGATACTACAACCATTGTATCTTGAGCTATAGTCCTAGTTCCATCAAACACCATATTATATTTTATCAGAATATCCCTTTGAATTCATTTGGAATCCTGTATTCCTGATTTATTCCCTCTGTTGGTAGGTAGGTGTAATTTGGTTACTGAATTTTTTTAATTTTTTAAAAAATCTGCATTTACCTAGCAAAATACAGCAATATCCCACTCAGCAGTCAGGATATGTTGCAGGGAAATGAAATGCTATCCAAATCGGTGCTGGATGGTGTATTTTAAAATTATGCCTCATGACATAGGTGAAAAAACAACACATATGAGCATTAAGCACACGAGAAAAGGCAGGTGGATTGGGTTTCTGGAAGAATGGGTGAGCATTAAGTCTGTGAGTGAATGATTGTTTTTTCCCCCTAGGATTAAAGGCATAGATCAAGAGGCAGCAAGAATCTTGTCAGGGAATGAGGACTCAGTCCTGGTCAGGAGTTTCAGAGGCCCCAACTCCTGTGGGCTGGGTGGCATGAGAACAGAGAAAAGAACCAGGGAGCAGTGACATGGAATAAGGAGACTGGGCTCCCAGGCTCCCAGAGGCCTAGTCTACCTCCATCGAGTACCACAGAATTGCTGTGCAAGTATGCGCACAGTGGAAAATCGGCACTAAACAAGGCAGCACTATGTGAGATATTACTGTATAAGTTGTCAGCCTGTAAATAGTGTGATATAATTAATTTTCTCCTCTGTAAATATAGACATTTATGCACTGCCTCCCATCTAATTGTACAGGGTCCTGAACATTTAAGCACCCACTGGCTGTTCACAGTTGGCATTGCTAGTTGTAGGTATTACAGTTTTAACTCAGGTGTTTCTCAGTTCTTTACAAGTATGAATCGGTACAATACATGAAGTATACTCTTCATCCAGTTCTCTTCTTATGAATATTATTCTAATTGTCATGACATAGATGAGCACAGTGTTTAAGACTTGGTGCATATGAAAGATAAGGTGGTTGTGAAAATTCATGCCATGATAAATCTCTTAATCTTCTTAAGAACTTTGAAGTTTTGTTAATTTAAACTTGTCTAATATTTTTTTTCTTTCTTTATCTCAATTATTAGGTTACGAAATAAGAATGGAAAACAGAATATGCCAGTATCCACAGCAACTGTATCAATGGTTCATAGTGTCCCAGAATTGATGGTTAGCTCTGAGGCAAGTACACTCCCACTCAGTCATTTCTAGCAGATGGTCAAAGCTCAGCAGATCTGTTAGTGGGGTTTTTTCATGCAACGCATACAGTATATAATACAGCACATCTGTCTGCCAAATTTAAAGTTGAAAGCAACTCTTGAGTAGAATTCAGGTTGTGTAATGTTTCTGGTGAGCTGTATTCACATAAAGGTTTTTAACAATAGAATAGCTCCCTATTTTCCTCTAAAACATTTCCATCCAAATATTGTTCTATAACAGTGCCTATCTGGTACAGTGCTTTCTGTTGTTTTTTAAAATTGCATTCTGTTTATGAAACAGCTGATGGAATATTGAACAACTTAAACAGCAATTTTGTCTATACTTCAAAATAAGACTCATTAAAAGCAGAGTTTTGAGTAAACGCATTAGATTGAGCTGTCTGTTATTTAAAGAATTTGTAGCAGAGTTTACTATAATTGAAATCTTATGAGACTATTATGCCTATATGTTTATCAGGTGCTATAAAAAGCATACTACTCTAGTCCCACAGAGCCTGCCAAGCCAAGTGTTTAGAATGGTAAAAGTGTTTTTCACGTATGAATATTTGCATCGAAAATAAACAGCTCATCTGTGGTTGGAGTAAAGAGGAGTATTGTATTGTATAACACCTTTTCTTAAAGCACAGAATAGAAAATGTTTCGTTGCCATTTTGCATATTACATCTGCCATATGTTACAGATGCAAATAAAGCACATACTAGAAATTCCTCAAATTAGATATATTAATTAGGCATGAGACGTTTGGATTATTATTTTTTTGCTACAAATTCTGTTATTCTCCATGCTGGGAGTTCCACCTGACATATAGACAATACATCTCTTCTGTGGAAAAAAAAGTCTAAGATGGTAGGCCTAGCTACGCATTACTCCACCTAGCTTCCTGTTTAGAAAGGAAGTTCTCAGTAGTGTAGTAGTTTCCTTTCTGAACAAGAAGCTTGGTAGAATACTAAAAAAAAATCTGAAAATCTAATGTCTAGCGCTAATTCAATAAATTAATGTCACATTATTTGCTAGGATTTCAAGGTCTCAGTGGCAAACTTGAAATGCTGCTCCTTTAGAAGCAGAATTCTTCAAAAAGGCTGGGAAAAGCATCTTTTGCTGCTCTTGCTACTTCTCTTTTGAAAATGCAGAGCATAATTTCCTTTATCTGCTGGACTGTTATATTAAAACAGAGTTTTTGTCAAGCTTGTTTAAGATGTTATTTTTCCTTTTATTGTAGCAAGCTGTACAGTTGGGTAGAGAAGATCAGGAGAGATTACGTCGAAATCGCAAACTTGTGCTAATGGTAGATTTGGACCAGACATTGATCCATACGACAGAACAGCATTGCCAACAGATGTCTAACAGAGTAAAGCAGTATTATTTATCATACTCTTAGATTAATTTTAATATGTTTTACACTGTCTCTAGATGAAATACTCTGCAAAGAATACTTTTTAGTATAGTTTACAGTGGAAAAGAAAATTCTTTTATACATACAAACATGTTTTTTTAAAGAAAATACGACATTGTTCTTAGTTAGGTTTTGTGTTATGAACATTTAAATATTTTATAAGTTCTAAAATTTTCTTGCCCCCACGTGTGGAATGAATTCCCCAAAATGTATTCTTACAGGCACCAGAAGTACAAAAGATAATAAGCTCCTTGAACTTGTATAGTATTTTAACATACTGTGATATTTTGGACTGTTGGCTTTTTGTCTTTTGAATGTGTATGCATTGTAATCTACTCTAAGGCTTTAGGGCAGTAGAGGTTAAAATCAGTGTAGTAATGGGTCATTGTTAAATCTGCTAGTATGGCCTCTTGCCAGAAGAAAGCAGTGACTACTCATTAAATTAATTGTGACACACTAGAAACATATAGTCATTGGAGCTTGTCAGGAATCTGCAGCTCTCAGAAAGCTGATTCTGAAGCTTATAGATTCCAGAATGGCTTTGATCAAGCTGGAAATGATAATTTGTTGTACATATGCTTTGTGTCCTTTCTGATTTGAGCCTTGATTTTAATTTTGTGTACACAGTCTTTAGTTATTAAATATATTGTGGAAACTGAAATTGCTTTAAATGTCTCCCATATATTCTTCATTAAATTTCTCATTCATACATGGTTGGTATTTTCTCATCATAAAAGTAACTTTTTACTATACTATTCATGTTTTAACATAAATATTGGATAAAAAGATATGCAGTTCCTTTGTGTAATAAATGGTTTATGCTAAATTTGTTTGGTATATGATGCATACAAATTGATGAACATCTTTAGTATTTACTAGTTACTTGTTTAGTAGTTCTTACCGTTTTGAATAAGCTGGAAAACATGTCACATTTGCATCTAAGGAGTAACTTCTGTAAATCTTACTAGTATTCATTCTTCACTTTAGGGAATATTTCATTATCAGTTAGGTCGAGGGGAACCCATGTTGCATACCCGGTTACGTCCTCATTGCAAGGAGTTCCTGGAAAAGATTGCCAAGCTGTATGAACTACATGTTTTCACCTTTGGAAGCAGACTTTATGCACATACTATTGCAGGTAAGTGGCAGTCTATGAAATATTTGCTATCAAGGTTGGAGGGCTTTGTTCTACTTTTCCTTCTACTCGTAGAAGAGTCTTGATCTAAAATTTCAATTTATGCTAATACCTGTTAATGCTGTATAGTGGGACATTAGCATAGGAATGATACTATATTTTAATCATTCTTTTCACGAAGCATTGACAGAAATACCACAATATTTTTCAGTAAATTATTTGGTATTAAGTAAGTGGATTGCTCAGTGAGTTAAGGATGTGGCTGTCGAGCCAGAAGTTAGGAGTTCAGTTCTGCATTCTGCATCCCAGAAGAACCAGCCTATTTGGCCTTGGGCAAGCTGCACAGTCCCAGGGACCCCCCAGAAGAAGGGTTGTCATAACTCAGAATTGACTTAACACACAATTGTTACTATTATGTAACTAATTATATGTTTTTGTGTGATTAAGTGTCTGGTTAGTAGAATTCTTACACTGCTTGTCTTCCAGTCTCTTCCAAATTACTTTGACTTTAGCCAGATTAACATGCCACTGCATGTTTTCAGCCTTAAAAAACTGAAAAAACGCTACAGTAAAGAGCAAAGTTCTGTGTAATTCTGATTGAATAGGGAGTTACATTTTTCTCCTTTGCCTTTGTATTTCCTGTAGTATGGATTGATTCCATTATGAAGTGAGTGAAAATAATAACAAATCACAGTGTTCAATGTGACTACTCTAAAGTAACACCTTTTACTTCAGTGGGACTTCTCCTGAGTTAAATATGTGTAGGTTTGTAGTCAGTGCATGGGATCTGTTTTTTATGGTTCTACTGTCTAGATGTTCTCTTAAGTAAAAATCTGTGTTGTATGATTATAGTGATCATTGCATGGACAAGTACAGTCGTGCCCCACTTAACGATTACCCCGCATTACGACGAATCCGCTTCACAACGATGTTTTTGCGATCGCGGTTGCGATTGCAAACGATGGTTTAAATGGGGTTTTTTCGCTTTGCGAAGATCGGTTCCCTGCTTCAGGAACTGATTCTTCGCATTACGACGATCAAAACAGCTGATCATCGGGTTTTCAAAATGGCCACCGGGTGCTCAAAATGGCTCCCTGCTGTGCTTAGGGACGGATTCCTCGCTATACAGGCACCAAAAATGCCCACCATATGGAGGATCTTTGCTGGATAGTAAGTTTTTAGCCCATTGGAATGCATTAACCGGGTTTTAATGCGTTTCAATGGGTTTTTTATTTTCGCTTTATGACGTTTTCATTCTACAGTGATTTTGCTGGAACGAATTAACGTCGTTAAGCGAGGCACCACTGTATAATAAATGTTTAAAAAATAACACTGTTGGTGTGAATGATAGAACGGTAGGGACATGTAACTATTATTGACTGTAAGCTAAATCTATGGTGAAATGATACCTTTTCACTGTGTCATTTTTACCGGTTTGTGCATAGGAAAGTTTCTTCACATTTTTTTACATGGGGCTCCCTTCAAAACTTGTGTTATCTCCAGTCAGTGCTCAGTTGTTTATTCCATAGGTCAAAGCGCAAAGATTCTCATGGAGATTATATGCATAGTGTTGGTTCAAAAAAAAAAGTTTGGTGGGTTAGTATTGTTTGAAATGGTTGTTTTAGAAAATGAAACAGGGCATAGTTGTTTTTCCTAAACCAAACCCAAAGAGCTGGAAGAAAGCAAGTATGTTTCCTTCATCCAAAAGCAGGTTTGTTTGTTTGTTGTTTCAATTTAAATACCGCCCCATAATGCTAAAGTATTCTCTGGGTGCTTTACAACTTAATTATGCAATCAGCAACTGAGTATTCACTTCAGAAGGAGGGAAGGCTGAGCCAACCTGGAGCTGGCTACCTAAATACATTGGGATCGAACTCAGATGGAGAGCAGAGACTTTATTGCAGTACTTTAGTTTAACCACTATTCCATGGGCCTCACATGGATTTGGGATTATTGAGAAGGCAGCAATACTCTCAGTTCTACCATTAGGTTTTAGGTAATGTTTGTATTTATTTAGTTAGTTCTCAAATTGTGGAATTCTGGTATTTCAGTTTTTGCCATGTTGATATGCTGGTGCAAAGGAAAAACAAGTTATACATTTTATTATCATTGATCATAGAACAATGGAGTTGGAAAGGGCCTGTAAGGCCATTGAGTCCAACCGCCTGCTCAATGCAGGAATCCAAATCAAAGTATATCTGACAGCTGCTTATCTAATTTTCTCTTGAATGCCTCCAGTGTTAGAGAGTTCACCCACCTCCCAAGGTAATTGGTTCCATTGGTTCCATTTATTATTATCATAAATTCAAACGATTTAGATCTTGAGTGATGGTGGTAGAATAACTTTACCTCCTTCAGAATGCTAGTTTTACCTGTAACATTTTTCATGTGCCCTCAGAGCCACCCTCCTCCATTTTGAGAACTTTTGAAAGGTGGTATTTCCAACTGTAACAGAGTAATGACATCGTTTTGAAGGAAGGGGTGAAACTATGCTGACATGTTCAATAAATAAGTAATCATGATTGTTCTGTCTTTGTCATTCTTTCTTTGATATCATTTAAAGTTATCTTTAAAACACTTCCATTACAATGCCATGTTATTATGGTATACAATTTTGCTTTTCTTTATTATAGAGTAGATTAACAAAAATGTAGCTCAGATTTGGTTTGTATGTATTGCACATATTTCTTCATTCAAAACCTATACCTACCATTGGTGTCATTTAGAAACATTGGTTATTTTTTCAGTACAAACCATGGCTTGTGGTGACCATAATTTGTTCATTGAAGTACAGATTGCTTGATAGTCTGTTCAACAAAGTGTGGTTTGTCTTGCCTCTTTCTGATTTGTTTATCTGCTCTTGCTTTGAACAACTCTTGTTTTGAAGTAGGCAGCTGGGAAAACAAGTCACATTTTAATAGATGAGAATGTTATGATAAGCTGTAGGTTTAGCCAGGCAAAATTCATAAGCCAAAGATAACCTGTGGGTACACAGTTTGATTTGTAGGTAGTTAACAAACTTTGTTAGCAAAGGCAGATTTGCACATACAATGGTGCCTCGCTTAACGAGGATAATCCGTTCCAGCGAAATTGCTGTAGAATAATATCCTCGTTAAGCGAAATAAAAAAGCCCATTGAAACACATTGAAAACCCTTCAATGCATTCTAATGGGCTGAAAACTCACCGTCCAGCAAAGATCCTCCATACAGCGGCCATTTTCGCTGCCTCTATAGCAAGGAATCTGTCCCTAAATACAGCGGGGAGCCATTTTAAGCACCCAGTTTGAAACCCCGACGATCAGCTGTTTTGATTGTCGTAATGTGAAGAATCGGTTCCCGAAGCAGGGAACCGATCTTCACAAAGCGAAAAAACCCATTTAGACCATCGTTTTGCGATCACAAAAGGATCGTCGTACAGCGATTTCATCGTAATGCGGGACAATCGTTAAGTGAGGCACCACTGTACTAAAAAGTGGTTATACCACTCCATTTTTCCAGTGATGTGGTCTTGGACCAAGCAGCTTTGTTACAGGCCTGGAGCTGCAAAGGTGGCAGAATATTGAATCCTATGAGCCATACATGCTCTGGTTGATCTCAGTTTACCCCCTTCCCTTAGCCACAGTAAGACTCTAAATCCCAAACACTTTGAATGATGATTTATCTTCAGGACAAGATGTTACAGTATGTTGCTTCCTAAGTTTAGACTGGTTTGTATATGGTTTCCATTGTTTAGCAGTTCCCAGTCTTAGGCTCTTCTCCTATATAGCTTTAGGCTTGACAAATTCACTTAGGTTTATGTATATAATCTGTTAATTTGCACTGGTATATAATGGCAATAGATGTATTGTAGTAAATTACTTCCTTCTGTTCTGAGAAGAGTCATCATAATTATCATGTTCCCCCAAAAATAAGACAGGGTCTTGTATTAATTTTTGCTCCAAAAACAAATTAAGGCTTATTTTCAGGGGATGTTTTATTTTACAGTCATGTCATCTTCTGGTTGCTGCACAATGGTGGAGGGCGGGGTTTCACTTAACTGGGGCTTATTTTGGGGGTAGGTCTTATATTACAAGCATCCTGAAAAACCATACTAGGGCTTATTTTCAGGTTAGGTCTTATTTTCGGGAAAACAGGGTAGTGTATTTTGTGGTTAAATGAATCATTCGGTTCTATAATAAATCTTCTGCATTATGATAAAGAAAGACACATTATAAAATTATTCTTGTTGTTAATGGGACATGATAGATTATGAAAAAGTTACTGATCGAACATACCCTTTGATCAATCAACCTTTGATTGAAAAGCCATGCGTAGTTTTAAATAAGGCAAGAGAGTGCAAGTGTAGAAGGGAAAATATTTGCTTAGTTGGTAAGCCAGGTCTTATATAATTGAAATTCAAGTTAGGCAACAGCTACTTCCCCATTTCTCCCCTGTCATTAAATCAATGGCCTGCTGTATATCTAGTTATCTGAAAGGCCACCTGCATCCATTCTCTCCCTATCCTGATATACTTCAGTGGCTGGCTGATGGGAACACTAGTAAAACCTGTTAGGCTGGTGATTATGAGAAGTAGGGCATCTGTGATTGTCCCATCCTTGTGGAATGCCCTGCCTGAAGATACACACATGGTTCCATTCTTACCTTAAAGACTTGTTTGTTGCAGTCTGTTTAAATCAACCTAAAAATAGGCTGAAGTACAGCTTCAAAGAATCACTATGCCCCCCTTCGCAAAGTGAAGACATGAGATTTTTTAAAAATTAAAAGATTACCACTACTTGCCAGAGAATTGACAGGTAGCTACCCTGAATATAGTCAGTTTCCTGCCATAAGAAGCAAAGGGCAACAGAATATGTGACTGCTTGAAGAAGAGGTGGGAGTCTCCTTTTGTTTCCCCACTTGTGCCTATGGAACCTCCTGGGTCTCCTTGGAAATATTTAATTCATGAGAGAAGAACATTCTCCCAGTGCATATGTCGTTGCAACAGTCACAGCTTTAACAGTGGTTAAAGGCTTCTAACGCCAGATGGCAATATTTTACAGGAAAATATTTTGTGAAACTTAATTTGCAGTGTAATGGAGAAACTGAAATTACTAGGAATTTTAAACACGCTGTATTTTTTGTCATTTTCATCTTAATAGCTGTGGCTTGGAATAAAAATTATTCTGTATTCCCTTTTGTTTTACTGTATACAGAATTTCCTAAAACTGGATATAGTTAGTTTAACATAAAAAAAATTGAGAGGGACTAGCAGACAAGAACCAGACAAGAGTTTTTCCCTTTCTGTGCTTCTCTTTGACTAAATTAATTTGGTAGGAATGAATGAAAAGAGTACAACTGAATCAGGATTTGCAATCCTGTTGACCACGTCAGGTTGGATAAACATGCCCAGTCATTTATCTGCTGCCACTTGATGGGCACTAGAGTATGTTTGGGGGAAAGTATAGCTTCCAGTTCCATGCACCTTGTGTTCCAATAGCTCAATTTGTGCAGCCTCATCTCAAACAAGTGTGGAATCTCAGAACACAATTGAATCAGTAGCATGAATGGAACATTTTTGTGATCACTCTTCTTTTCCTTGGGGGAGGCTGAAGACCATAGAACTGCAGAAACCAAGAGCTGGAATAAATATGTGCTCCCCCATCAAGCATCTTTCCTTGGCATGCCATAGCTGCATTGGCATCACCACAACAACATGTTATCCTGAGCATTACAAAAGCTAAATAGTAAAGATGCTGCATTGAATACCTAAAGTAGACTGGCCTTAGCCAACACCTGATGATCAAAATCCAGCAAGAGGGAACCAGCCTTTGATAGAAGACTTTTGCCTGGTTTTCTTCATGGGATTCAAACCATTGCGACTTCCAGAGCCCTAATCCACATCCTCCCTTCTAAATTCCCTTCTGTCAGCTATTATCATTCAGGATAAGTCCATCCTGAGAATTCACTGTCTAATCTAGCTGGCGAAAATATTTGATATTGTGAATGTATAGTGAATTAAGAAAGAATAGTAGACCTTTTTGTTACAGTAAAGGTTTTTTTTTAATCCAGCTTTTCCATATTAAGTGACTGATCCCACTTAAGTAAACATATGCACCTTTCTACATTTGCTTGGTGGTGGTTTTCTCTAGCTAATTCTTTCAATTCATTATGCCTAGGTACTGCAAGGGTCTCACAACAGGGATCATCCTACATGAATTTGCTGAAATTCTTAAGCATAGTCGGGTGAGTTAAGGTTGAAGTTCTGTCCTTAACTCTGAGATTTTCTTGCTTTCATGGGTTTTAAGTTATTCTTGTAAGACACAGTTTTGGCCTACTTGTATCAATCTTGATAAAGGATCAGTAATATCAGGAGCTGTATCAGTAAGGTCCATTAAGCAATGTCTAGAAATTGCTGTGCAGTCACTCCTTAATTTAGGGATATTTCCAAGTGCATTACATCGTTCTCTGACTCACCAGTCATATTTAAAATTGGCACAGTACCTTACATGTCACCTTTTCAAACAGGTATGAGAAATATTGTTGCCATTTGTTCAGAAAGCAACTTTACTGCAGATATATAGCAAAGCCTTTTAACAACCAACAAAGCTATAGTTTACTATGTGAATTCTGGTCTGCTGGATATTTGATAGTCCTTCAATTTTTGCAATACTAGATAAGCAGCAAATCCAAAAAGCTGCTAAAATGCCATATTTCCCAACAAAGCTATGATTTGCTTGTATAATAAATAAAACTACCACATTAAGTAATATGAAAAGTGATTGTAGAGTTTTCTCAGGGCAATTGACAAGTTGCTGTTTTTAAAAACAGTTATTTTAAGGTAAGTCTAGAAGTGTATATTTAGAAATCTTACACGTTTAACTTAAAACCTGCAACTGCAAGAACTTGTGTTTCTTAACTTGCCCATTTTGCTTAAGTATCATAGCACAGTTTTCAGTGCTTTAGCTAACTGCAGTCCCAAGGCATAGTGTTGAATAAACAAAGGAAGTGGTTCCATTCTGAGACTTGCAAGGAAAGCCTGAGTAGTTAAGATGGGGCATACCATGGACATTACAAAACACAGTGCTTGGGATATATGTATGTATGTAGAATGAGGCTAGTAGAATCAGACTTCCACATCCTTCCTTATAATAGCTTCCCCAGCCCCCGAAAATTCAGAGCCATATGTGCATGCCAAACAACCATAAACAGTTGGATGGTGAAAGACAAGGATTTTTCTTGAACAGAGAAACCTGTTGTGATGTTTTATAAGCAGACATTGTGGATCATCCAATATTAAGATTTTGGGTATCTATTCCTGTGATCAGTTTTTAGGTCATAAATGTAAGCTTTTGTTTTCATTCCACAAAATAGCATGTGCCTATGTAGTTACGTTGCAAGTTATGTTGGGCAGCATTTATTATAAATTTCTCAATGTCTTTAGTTACATTGTTCCTGAATTAACATTCTATAATGCTCATGCAATTGATAGTTATTAGAGATGGGCACAAAGTACTTGTTCAAAACAAAGTACTTTGTGCCCCTTCATCATAAGTCATTCCCTGCCCCAGCCCCCCTCACTGACACCTTCACTCACGAGCTGGCATATGTTGCTCTTTCCCTCCCCATTGTATGATCTTCCAGTCTGGGCAGAAGCCCAGACTTCTTTCTCTGCCTCCTCCAGCAGCTGCTCACTCAGACAAAGACATGGGGCAGGGATTCCTGCAGCACTGCCTTTGAGTGGCTAGCTGTTGGAAGAGGTGGAGAAGGGAATTCCAGGCTCTTGCCCAGACTGGAAGATGGCTCAATGGAGAGTGAAGGAGCAACACATGCTGACTGGTGAGTAGAGGTGTTGGCTAGCGGGGTAGGGACAAGGAATGTACGGCAGCTGGGCTGCCACACAGACAACTTAGGACAAAGAGGCACAAAGTACTTGGTCCCCATCTCTACTAGGCATATTAGGGTCTCACTAATATTTAATATATGTATGTACAAAAAATTAGATTAAAATATATTTGTTTCAAAGGGCTAGTCTTCTAGCATTACAAGGAGAATGGTGAAGAATATTGAGACTTCTTAGGGAAAATTAATTTATTACTGAAAATATATTAATTTCAGATTTTTTCCTTCTTTAAAAGCATTCTTGGATTCTGAAAAGAAGCTCTTTTCTCATCGAATATTGTCAAGGGATGAATGTATTGATCCATGTTCAAAAACTGGGAACCTTAGGTATGTATAGGGACTATAATATTATTTATCTGTGGGACACTTGGAGGGCATGCTGTTGAAATGGACTGTCTTCCCAACCTACCAGCCCTGGCTTTGCATGAAGTCATATGTCATCCCAGTGACATTATAATGTAAAGAAATGGAGATTATAACCTACCTCTAAGTTGAACAGAAATTGATAGCAAGAGCAGTTTCCTTCGTAGTGGCTTCTATGAATGCACACAAATGGGTTTGTTCTGTGCCTGTGCAGGACTTTCGGAACATTCTAGAGCTTGGGAAAAAAGAAACAATTTAGTTCCCCCCAGAGCGCTAGCTCCGCCTCCTCAACCTTCCTTTCAGTTCCCTTTTTTCTGCCATTCGGGTAGGATGTTTGGAATGACAGAGCGAGCAAGGAAAGTAAATCCTAGCATCTTAGCTATTTATCTTTTTTCAATCTATTTTTTTCTTTTTACTCAAGGAGATAGAACCTTTAGCTTATTTTCCTCTTTTTCAATATTCTATTCCTCTTCCCGCCTTTCCTCTCCCCCACGGATTCCCCCTTTTATTTTTCTCCCCTTTCCCCCTTGTTTTATGGCCCCTCGGGGCTTCAAGACATGTTCCATTTGCTTAAGAAAGATCCCACTAACGGACGAACACAATCAGTGTTTGTTTTGTCTCGGGGAATGCCACCAAAACGATTTGTGCATCTCATGCAGCAGCCTTTCTAAACAGGCTATTAATCAGCGATTACGATCATTTCTCTATGAAAAGACTCTGAACCCTAATATGGAGGTACCATCCATCCCTTCATCTAATCCTCCTCGCCTGGAGGCTACTAAAACAGCTCCTAGCCCAGTCAAGCAGCCTTTATCCAGTACGACCTCTTCACTTACCAAATCCAAGAACTCTCACAAGCGGCCTAAACCAGCCTCCACTAAGGCTCAAGCGCAGTCCGATGATCCTACAAAAAAGAAGGACAAAGAAAAAGTTAAGAAGCAAAAGAAGACTACCACATCAAATACCAGACCTCTTCCCATGGCTCCTATATTGGTGGATGATTCTTCAAGGGAAGCCATTGGGCTTTTGGATCGTACCATTCCTCCAGCCCAAACATCTCATGAAATTCTAAGCACGTCTTCAAGTTCAGGCCAATTTGCAGCTGACACACTTTCCAGCCCGGCCATAGCCCCTCTTAGCCCTCGATCTTCAGGGCGGGCAGATACCGAGTCTGAATCTGAACAGAAGTCCGCTGTATGCACTCCTAAAAAGAGAACAGAGAAGCGCAAACATGCCTCTCCATACCAACATTACAGACTCAAGCAGCAGTACTACTACCCAGAGGGTCCACCACAATATGGTCACCCGTATTTCGATAGATGGCATCCACTTCCATACCATGGATATGCCTATCAGGAGGATTTCAGAGGTCCGACCTACCCTCCACCGCCCTGGTATTCTTCCACAGCTCCTCCCCTGGAAACCCAAGGGATACTCCTATGCACGATTTGATCCATCCGAAAGAGGGGAATGGTACCTGAACCTACCATACGTACCAAACGATCTAAACACTCTAGGAGCCATTCTGCAGTACAGGCTACTATGCTTTACTCTGGCCCCCATGGCCCTGATACTGAACTCTACAAATCCCACGAAAAACTGAGCACCATTACAAAAGGCATGGGTCGGATTCGGACTTTTTAGTCAAACACTCAATGCCTAACTCCATTGTGGTCGAGGCCACCCAATATAAATCCCGTAGCAGGTCCTCCACAACACCTGTGAATAGGGAAGGACGGAAAATTGACTCTCTCTGAAAGAAGCTTTATTGCAGCACGAATGATTAGAATTTCGAATTACCAGGCTGCAGTGGGCGCCTATCAGAAACACTTGTGGGATAAATTTCTCCCCACACTACAAGTCCTGCCAGATCCATCAAAGACTGAGGCTTTCAATATTTACACAGAAGCTAACACCCTTGCCAAACAACAAAGGGTAGCAGCGAAACACACTGCTGGCACTGCTTCCAAAGCCATACTAACCTCAGTAGCAGTTAGACGCCATGCTTGGCTCATGGTGGCTAATATGCTGGATGATACCAAGACGAAGATTGAAGACCTCCCTTTCGATGCTGCAGGGCTGTTTAATTCCAAGACTGACGAGGTAATGGAAAACATCCTTAAGATGAGGAAGATGGCTAAGTCGTACATACCGTACCAACCGTATAAATACCAGAAACCCTCTTACAAGAAGCCATTCTACCAACAAGCGCCTCCATACCAGCCCTTTCAGTACAACAAGCAGCAACAGCGTGAACGGGCTTACCAGCCACCACAAACCAACCCCCTGCAATTCAAGCAGCAATCCTATTCTGGCTCCAAACAGCTTTTTTGTAAACAGCAATGCAGGGATAAGCAATACACCTGATTACCCCTGTAACCCCACGAGGCTTTTCCCATTCCTCCCAGAATGGCGGAGGATTACTATTGATAAGTGGGTTTTGGCTATCATTGAGAAAGGCTACCTGATAGAATTTTCGCAAATCCCTTCACCAAACTTCATTAAGGCCACCCCTTTTTCATTCCTTCTACAGGAGGAAATGCCATCTCTCCTTCGAAAAGGGGCTATAGTCAGAGTCCCATCCCATCCCCCCAGGCCTTCACGAGGGTCTTGCTCTTCTTTCTTCTTTGCTGCCACCAGATATTAATAATTTAATATCAATTGAGTATTGAGACACGTGTTAAAAACATGCATCCTTTATTTAAACACAGAAGTTGATAATCAGTAAATATTTGTGGGGTAAATCACAGGTTGCAAATCGCTTTCAATTGAATCAGTTTGGATATTATTACAAAAATCTCTTAACTCTCTACTTTAATCTGCCCTCTTACAGTCCTCTGATTTGAATCAGTTTGGATATTATTACAAAAATTTCTTAACCCTCTACTTTAATCTGCCCTTTTACAGTCCTCTGACTCACTCTTCTCTCACTTTTTAAGCCACACACAGTCTCTCTCTCCCAGACTCCATCCACCACCCTTTTTATTCTCCTTCACTCCCCCTTGGCTCCGACTTCCATTCACTCAGTGGCTCCTGCGTCAAGGTTCCGCAGTGACGGACAGGTGGGGTCAGGGCTGTTCGCTACAGCAAAGGCTTTTTCTCTCGCTGTTTCGCTACAGCAAAGGCTTTTTCTCTCGCTATTTTGCAGGTATTAGACCCATTATGGACCTTAGAGACCTTAACGAATACATACGCTACAGAAAATTCCGTATGTTAACACTTCACTCCATTCTCCCTCTTCTATCCTAGAGGAGCTGGTTTTTCACCATTGACCTCAAGGACACCAACTTTCACATATCAATCCATCCGTCTCATCAACACTTTCTCAAGTTTCAATTCCAACACACAACATACCAGTTTGCTGCCCTCCCCTTCGGGCTTTCTACAGCCCCAGGACATTCACAAAGTGTATGGCTCCCAAGATCGCTTACCTCTGTACCAAAGGAATAAAGCTCTTCCCCTATATCGACGACTGGCTTCTAGTTGCCAGATCCTACCACGACGCCATTGTGGCCACGAAAACCACACTCGATGCCTTAAACAAATCAGGCTTGAAAATAAATGGAGAAATATCCCACCTGGAGCCGTCACAACTAGTCAACTACATAGGGGCGCAACTTAATGCCATACAAGCAAGGGCATTTCTACCATCCCAAAGAATCTCAAAGATCCAAAAGGCAATACAGCAATTTCAGCCCTTCAAGACAGTGACTGCTCTCGATGTTCAACATCTACTCAAGTCTTACGGCTTTCACGACATCAGTTGTCCCCCACAGCAGACTAAAACTCTGAACTCTTCAAGCCTGGTTCCGCTCCCAATTCAACCCCTCAGTGGACAGTCCGTTAAAGGCTCCCAATTCAACCCCTCAGTGGACAGTCTGCTAAAGTTGAGGGTACCACCAAATGTGGCAGACCACCTCAGCTGGTGGACATCCGCCCACAATCTCTCAATGGGGAGACCATTCCAACCACCTTACCTGTCAATACAAATAATGACAGATGCCAGCCCCTCGGGATGGGTAGCTCATTGCCAGGAACTCCAGATTCACGGCCTATGGACAAAGACAGAAAGAATGCTCCACATAAATCAGCTAGAAATGCTGGCCATCATGAAGGCATTTCAAACCTTTCTTCCATGTATTGAGGGAAGAGCAGTACAGCTCAGGACCCACAACACCACGGCTATGCATTATATAAACAGACAAGGAGGAACTCGATCCCTGCCCCTCCTTCGCATAGCCATAAAGTTTTGGGAATGGTGCCGCAGCCACCATATTTTCCCTCAAGCAATCCATATTCCTTCAGAGGACAACTACCTGGCGGACCGCCGCAGCAGGCTCCCCACCAGGATGCACGAATGATCCCTCAACGAGACAGTCTTCCAAGACATCTGTCTCAGGTGGGGCCAACCTACAATAGATCTCTTTGCATCCCATTTCAACACCAAGTACCCCAAGTATTGCTCAAGAGCAGGCATGGACACGATGTCACTTGGAGATGCATTCATGGTACCATGGTCCGGAGAACTCTCTTACCTTTTCCCTCCAATGCCTATACTGCTCAAAACAATAGCCAAGATTATTCAATACTGAACAGATGCGATACTTATCGCCCCATGGTGGCTGCGACAACCATGGTTCATCCACCTGAAGGAGATAATGGAAGAGATGTTTTACCTACCTTCGGTACCCTCACTCCTCTCCCGGAACGGTGGAGCCGTTCTCCATCCGGATGTTCGATCACTACACCTCACGGCGTGGAGGATAACCCCGAATTCCTTGCAATCTTAGATCAGGCTCGGAAACTGTCTACATCTCGCCTATACCAGAACAAGTGGACATCTTTCGTTAAATTTACTCAATCTAAAGGACTTACCTCGATCCCAACATTCCTCACAACCATACTTACCTTCATTCTGCAGCTCTTTAATCTTGGACTTGTGCGCTTCACTATTAAAGTATATATCTCAGATTCCTCGCAAGACAGGCAGCAAAAATGGCTGCCCTATGGAGGATCTTCGCTGGATGGTGAGTTTTGACCCCATTGGAACGCATTGAAGGGGTTTCAATGCGTTTCTATGGGGGTTTTTTTACGCATTACGATGTTGTCGCTTAACAGCGATTTTCCTGGAATGAATTATTGCCGTTAAGCGAGGCACCACTGTAGTATATGTGATTAATTTTTTTAGTCCAAAAATTGTGGGCTATCAACTGGTAGTGTGGCCCTTCATGGGCTGCTGTGTGTATGCAGTCTCCAGATATTTTTCGCTTATTCCTGAGTACAGCAATTAGGTAGAGGATGGAAGATTTGATAAGACAGACTTACAGCAGATTTAAATGAGCATGGAAAATTGTATATATTTTTATATTTTATATATTTGATTAAGAATGTTCTTGGTGTATATATTATCATATGTGCACTTCTAGTTTATATAATCATAGGTGCTATTTTTCTTTTTTCTTTTGCTTCTCAATTGTTTATTCTTAGCTTTTTCTATCAGTTTCTGAAAGTTTTGAATAAAACTGATCACTATTAATTAGTATGAAGATACAGGTGAATGTTTCCTCAAAAAAACTACCTCATATTGTGAAGGACAATAATAAAGTGATTTTTTTATTATTTACTATTTCTATATTTCTATCAAGTTGGCTCACCTTAATTGTAATCTCTTTACTTAGTTATCCATTTTATGAATTCTCTTTTCTATTCCAGAAACTTGTTTCCTTGTGGAGATTCCATGGTTTGTATTATTGACGACAGAGAGGATGTCTGGAAATGTGCACCTAATTTAATAACTGTGAAGAAGTATGTATATTTTCAGGGTACAGGAGACATTAACGCACCACCTGGATCAAGAGAAGCCCTAATGAGAAAGAAAGGTAACTGAAATTATATACACATATGTTTGTACATGTTCAATTCATTTGTAAGAGTATCTTTCATGTAACAACAATATTTTTTGCTAGTAAGAGGGAATAGATGCAGTGTCAATACAAAATTAGGTTTAGACTATACCTGTGATATTAAGATAGATGTTCTGGTCATGTCAAGTTGATGTTAGATCCATTAAAATTACATAATGTGGCTTTTTCATTTCATGTGGAAAGCAATATACTGAACTGTGATTCCTGTTGTTCAAACATTGAGACTGTTAAATTTCAGGCATTCTCTCTATATATAAAATGTATGTGTGAAATATAAATTATCAAGGCAAGTTTTGGGACCTGAAGAACAAAAGACAGACAAGCCACACAAGGCTTACAGTCTCTTGCCATTACCTAATTTAAATGTTCAACCTTGCACCAGAATTTATGCCAGTTAAGTAGTTAGGATTTTGTGCTTGCTCCATCAGCTAAGTAGAAAAAAATTACAGAACCATCAAATAGAAAATGAGCTAAACATAGCAGTTGTAGCAGCCACAAAGCTTTTAGAAACTTTCATGACAGTAGACAGGATGAAACTCACTGACAGTGCTCCCACATTACCTGAAAATACTCATATGGAATTTGATACTGTCAGTCAATCAATACTGTCCCTCATACACACACTATGCAATCATACTGAAAGACAGAAGGCCCCCAGTGCCCTCAGTATTGTAGGTTTGTATCTGTATTATTGAATTAGTTGTTTTCTAAGGGAGATGATGAAATGAACAAGTAATGGATATGACAAAAATTAATTTCTAGTTTGCAAGGTTATTACTGTGTAGGAACTGAGGGAATAGAGGACTACAGTGGAAGACAGGAGATGATTCTACTGTGATTCCACAATACCAGTTTTGGTATGTTGCTGGCACCAATAATTTTGGATGCATAAGAGTTAGGTAGAGAAATTAGAAACCAAGTTTCCCTTCTCATTACTGGAAATAACATCCAATCTAAGAATTAATTAGTGACCAAAATCCTATTGCACAACTATGAGCATGCAACTCAAAATAGATTATGTGGTTGCTGTGCTAGCTCTAAGGCAGAAGTGCTATCCCCAAAGCAGTCTTACCAGCACATTGTGCACTTGGTTGTGCCAGAGCTGCATGTTTGATTGCTCAGTTCCCTAGCTCTATTCCTTGTTGCCAGTCATAATGGTATGCATAATGTTATGCTGGCATGAACAGAATACTGTTCAAGCACAGCTCTTCAGTGTGGTTCACAACCTCACCAAACCCTGGTCAGCAATGGCCTTGTCCTGGTGATTTCACCAGTGATCAATCTGCAACCTTTTAAAAGTCTAAAATCAAGACCATCTGATCTGATCTCGACTGTACTAACAGTTTGATTCCATCTGACCCTGAAACACTGGAGGAAGTTTACAAGACACTGGCTAGCTGCAGGCCCACTGTCTCTTTGCTCAACACTTGCCCTGCATGGGTTATAAAAGCTGCCAACTGGATTATGATTGACTAGGTTGTGAATATTGTGAACTCATTTCTAAGGAACCCTTCTCTCACAGGTAAAGGAAACCACCATCTGACCCATCATTAAATAACCTCACTTGGCAGCAGCAATTTTAGACCGATTGCCAAGATACTCTTTATGGGTAGGATGATCGAGCAAGTGGTGGTAGGGCAGCTCCAGACTTGCCTGGGAGAGGAGAATTGCCTTGTTCCATTCCAGTCTGGATGCAGGCCACGGTCAGGTACTGAGATGGCACTGGCCGTGCTGCAAAATGGCCTTTTAAGGGGGGCCAACAGGAGAATTGCCTTGTTCCATTCCAGTCTGCAGGCCATGGTCAGGTACTGAGATGGCACTGGTCGTGCTGCAAAATGGCCTTTTAAGGGAGGCCAACAGGAGGCTCTACTCTGTTGGTACTCCTGAATCTCTCAGTAGCTTTTGACACAGCCATGGTATCCTCCTGGACAGGCTCTTAGAGGTGGAGGTCAAGGGACTGGCATTGAGCTGTTTCTGATCCTTCCTCAAGGGTTGTATCCAGAGAGTTCAGCTTGGGGATGAATTGTTGACCCCCTGGACCCTCATTTGTGGGGTGCCCAGAGATCTTCAGTTTCCTCAGTGCTATTCAGCATTTATGTAAAGCTGCAGAGGAAGCTCATCAGGAGATTTGGAGTTAGCCATCATCAGTGCATTGATGACATGTAACTCTGTCTCTCCTTCACCACCTCTGCAGTAGATGCCTTCCAGACCATTCAGTGTTGCCTGGCTTTGGTTTTGGAGTAAACCAGGGCCAAGAGGCTCAGTACAAACCTGGAAAATGTGGATATTTTGTTTCTGGATGGCATTACCCCTAGACTGGATGGCATTGTCCTCCCATTTAGGGATCAAATGAATAACCTGGGTATGTTTCTGGACCTGTCTCTGTCTTGGCATTCCCGGATTACAGCCATGTGTAGAGCTGCCTTTAACCAGCTGAGGCTCATAGCCCAACCCCACCCTTACCTAGAGCCCTCAGGATATTGGTGCAGGCATTGGTCATCTCCTGGATTTACTACTGCAATGCTCTCTATGTGGGAGTTTCCCATGAGACTAACTCGGAGACTACAGCAGATCCAGAATGTGACAGCCAAACTGTTGGCCAGTGTGAGCAAGTTTGATCACATCTCCCTAGTTCTGGCTTGTCTGCACTGGTTATTTGTTGTGTCTCTGGTCAGGTGCAAGGTTTTGATGCTCACATATAAAACACTTCACAGTTTGGGACCACAGTACTTGTCAGACCACCTTCTCCCAAGCAATGCCTACCTGCTCCACCAGATCCTCCCAAGCAATGCTCCACTGGGTAACTACTCTGAAGGAAGCCAGGGAAACAACTACAAGGAGCTGGGCCTTCCTTGCTGTGGCATCAACACTCTAGAATCAGCTCTCAGTGGAGCTGCCTTAGCTCCTTCCCTTGTAACATTGAAAAGGTTTCTTAAGATGTTGCTTTTCAGAGAATCCTTCCAATACAACCCTGCCTGATTTTTATGCTGTGCGCTGCCCTGTACTTGGAAGCATGTGTCTTGTTGCATCTGAGTTTCTGTTGATTGCTTTTATGTAAAATTTCCAAGTAGTAATTTGCATCTAAGAAATAAATAAATAATACTGGCTGATGTATTTCTAACTTTCAATCCAGAATGACAAAATATATTCTTCATTTTTATCCTCTGAAATAGTTAAATCTCCCTGCTATATTTGTTGAATTTTAAGCAACTTAAGAGAAGCCTTGTGGCACAGTAGTTAAAACTGCTGTACTGCAGCCCAGCTCGGCTCATGACCTAGGGTCAATCCCAGGTAGCTAGCTCAAGGTTTACTTAGCCTTCCATCTTTCTGAGGTCAGTAAAATGAGTACCCAACTTGTGAGGGGTGGGCAATGTGTAGCCTTCACAATTAATTTGTAAACTGCCAAGGAAGTGCTGTAAGCACTATGGGGCAGTATTTAAGCAGCACACTTTTAAAAATGTCTTTCCTTGAAATGCATGTTACAAGCTGACTCTTATCGTTTTAAAAAATCATTAAATGGAAGAGGAAATGGTTTTGATCAATGTTCTCTATAATTTTCTGTCCCACTATGCACCCAGAGACGGGGTGGGCTTCATTTGAAATGGGAAGTAAATAAACTGGATGTTGGCTGCCTGTGCGCAGCCCCAATGGAGCTCTGGGTGAGTGTGCACACGCATCTTATAGGGAACATTGGTTTTGGTCAATGCAGTTTTCAGAGAGGTAGCCAATATATTAATCTGTTGCAGCAGAACTATGAGAAAGTCCTTAGTCATCTTAAACTTCATCCCAGGCTTTTGACACAAGAATAAATGTAGTTGGGTTCAGTGTATTTGACTTTCAAGAAATAAAGAATATTGTGTTGCTTCTCTGTTTTAACTGAGTTCAGATACTGATAATTTTTGCACATCTTTTAATTTAGCAAACGATTCATCAAAATTAACTGGAGCATCTGATCCAGCAGTAGTAACAAGAGACTCTGAAGGCATGAAGAATATTGGAAATGTAGAAGAACAAAGCAATGGTATTAGGAAATCCACAAAGGAAGTAAATGGGAGTAACTCTATCAGCGGTGACACCTCATCCTGGGATTTGAATTCTGATGATAAATTAAAAAACTCCTTAAGTAGTGCTGATCACATAATAGATGCTTCTAGTACAAATGAACTGACAAGTGCCAAAGAACCTCATCCATCTTCAGACCATGATAATCAGAGAGTTACAAGCAAACAGCAGGTTCAGAACAAGACAACCAATTCTTTGGACTTTGAATTGTCTAGTGATAGTGAAAGTGACAGTGGGCTGGATGCTAAGAAATCCTCCTCCTCTTCTGCTTCAGATAGTGAATATGAAGGGAAAAGAAGCTGGAGAAAATCAGGGCAGTCCATACAGGAAGACAGCACAATGCTTCTCTTGGGAACTGATTCTAACTTAGAAAAAGATGGACAGCCAAACCATTCTGAAGACTTGGTAACCTCACCTAGCATCAATCCCCACCCCAAAACATTTGATCTGGATGTACATGAGGAGAGTGAGCAAGATAGCCTTTGCAGTCTTGGAAATGGGTGTATTGACAAGAAGGAGGCTGAGACAGAATCTCAGAATAGTGAACAGTCTGGTATAACTGTGGGAGAATCTTTAGATCAAAGCATGGAAGAAGAGGAAGATGATGATACAGACCAAGATGACCATTTGATATATCTTGAAGAGATTCTTGTTCGGGTGCACACGGATTATTATTCAAAATATGATAAATATGTCAGAAAAGAAATCGATGAGGTCCCTGATATAAGAAAAATAGTGCCAGAACTTAAACGAAAAATATTGCCAGGTGTTACCATATTATTTAGTGGGCTACATCCCACAAATTTCCCTATAGAAAAAACACGAGAGTATTATCATGCTACTGCTCTTGGAGCTAAGGTTACAAAAAGTCTAGTATTAAATGAAGATGACCCCAATAGGCCAACTCACCTTATTGCAGCAAGAGCAGGTAAGTGTAATACACAATCGAGCCAAACCATAAGAATCAAATCTTCCAGCATTGCAGTAAACCGCCAGAACGTCTGTTCAGATATTTTGTATATTAATATTTTGAGTGAACATTATTCACTGATAGTATAGATTACGTCATAGGCCCATTTTGGGAGGTATTCCTCTTTTAGCCTGAGTTGTATTGTTCCCTTTAGTCGATATCTAGAAATTTATATGCAGTTTATCTGAACAACTGTGTCCTTCAGCAGAGTAATCATGCTATATGCTTCTGAAACCACTGAAGACTTATGCCAGCTTTGAAACTGGAGTTTGATTTGTAAAATCCTTGATGTAGTTGAGTCTCAGCTTTGGATCATTGCCTCATTAAATGCTTGCTTAGTCCTTTTAAATAGGACTTCTTATAGCACAAAAACTTTTAGGAATATATGTGTTGAATTGAAATGTGTTTTGAGTAAGTGTGTTCTTGTGCCTTACTGAAATTGGTGGGACAGTGCAACACCTCCAAATAAAAATTGTCCCATATACATAAAAGGTGTAAAACAGTTATATTTGGTTATTTTTATAGGCACAGAAAAAGTTCGGCAAGCCCAGAACTGTAAAAATCTTCATATTGTAAATCCAGACTGGTTATGGAGCTGCTTGGAGCGTTGGGAGAAAGTAGAAGAACAGCTGTTTCCTTTGAAGGATAATTACCTCAAAACACAAAGGTAAAAAAGAAGGTATTCTCAAAGGCTTTCACAGCCGGGATCTGATGGTTGTTGTGGGTTTTTCGGGCTCTTTGGCCCTGTTCTGAAGGTTGTTCTTCCTGACGTTTCGCCAGTCTCTGTGGCCGGCATCTTCAGAGGAACAACATGGCCAAAGAACCCGAAAACCCCACGACAACTAAAAAATAATGATTTGGTAGTAGCCAGGCTTCATTTGCATAGGGTTAACTTGTTCATTCTTTAGCTTAACTTTATTTGTTTATTTATTTTATATATATATATACTGTACTGCCTTTCTCCCAGTGAATAGACCTAAGGCAGCATACAAACAGATCAAAAGTGTACATATACTTAAAAATCACAATAAATGGCAATATCAGTGTTAAAATACAATTAAACCTAAAATAATATTTAAATTAAAATGAATTTTGAACACATGATAAAAGTTCAATATGCCGCATCTACCACTAGAAACGCCAGTCCTGCCAGGGCATTCACAAATCAGTTTTAAAAGGAAGATTTCACCTACCAGTGGAGGGACAGTGAGGAGTGTATGAGGTAATTCTATAGACTGCGAGCAGCCACCAAAAATTCCCCCTCTCATATCCTTTCCAAATGTGTCTGCAATGGCAATAGGGCTGCGAGAAGATGATTTCGGAGACCAGGAGAGGATTATATGGCGGCATACTGTCCTTCAGATAGCTTGCATCCGAGCTATATAGGGCTTTATAGCTCATTACTGTGCCTGGAAGTAGACTTGCAGCTAGTTATGTTCTTGCAACAAAGGAGCTACATGATCCTTGTAACCAGCTCCAGTCATTAGTCTGTAGCATTTTGAAGCAACTGAGGCTTTTGAACCATATTTAGCGGTAGCCCCATGTACAGCATGTTACAGTAGTCTAAATGGGTCATAACTAAGATCTGTGTCACTGTGCCTAGTAAAACAGGAACTGGCATAACTTTAATGATAAATAGCATGGAGAACAGAACAGAATCCTGAGGAATGCCAAAGACCAGGATATTGAACATGAGTCCTCAAACACCGACTTTTGAGTTCACCCCACTGGAAAAGACTGGAATACTGCAAGACAGTGCCTCCAAGTCCCATTACAGTGAGGTGAGCCACTGAGATCTTCTAGTGGGCTCTAACTACTGCCCTGTTGGATTAACATGGAGTTTCCACCATTATTGCATTAATTTTTGTCCCAGTTATTTGATCACTGCCAGCCTCCTGGTACACAAGGAATGTATTTGTAAATGCCAAATCATTTTAAGAATTGGGAGAAGAATTGGATGTTTTATCTATCTTTGTAAATATTTTCTCTTAACAGAGAGAACAGTCCCGCCATGTTTCCAGATATACACAGTGCTTTCCAAACTGCCCTTTTTCATCCCACTCCCATTCATCCAGAGCGCCAACCTGGTCCTGAAGTTAGACTTTATGATCCCAACACTGGAAAACTAATCAGGAAAGGATCTCAGAATTCTAACCAGTCTCTGTATATTCAATCACCATCCCCTCCTCTCTCTCTACCGGTCCATGGGGAACATTCCTTATTCAGGTACATAAATAATGAAACATATAAGTAATTTTCATGTCTTCTGTGGTATTAAAACTGTAGACAGTTTTATGAAGAAATAATGCAGATTATATTTTCTTCTTGCAGTAGGTACCAGGGGAAAAATGAAATGTAACTCTTTTAATCATTACATTAAAGCTTTCATAGTAGTTAACTTTTTTTAAAAAATCTATTTTGTTTATTTCCTACACTTCTTTTCTATTTCAGCACATAATTCTGTATTTAAATGTCATGTCTAAAAGAGACATATGTAATGTAGTAGTCCTAGTTGGCTTCTTAATAAAAATCAACTATGTTCATTCTGACTATCTAATTTTGTTACCTGTAGTCATACAACATCCTATTTTTGATTTACGTTTGAATATGTATTTTATGTTTATAGTAGAAATATATACAAATTTGTCCTTCATTTTGCTGTGCTATTACAGAATTTGAAATTTGTATCTGTCTATTTTTATTTGAAAGTACACAGTTATCACTGTGTACATCTAAAGCTGTAGTGTAGTGCACTTAACTCTTCAGACGAGAAGTTATAGCACTAATGAAGGAAGAAAAATACAGATGTGACATCCAGCATTCTGTAATATAGAGCAGCGGTTCTCAAACTTGGGTTCCCAGATGTTCTTGCACTGCAACTGCCAGAAATCCTGGCCAGCACAGCAAGTGGTGAAGGCTTCTGGGAATTGCAGTCCAAGAACATCTGGGGACTCCAGTTTTATAATGACTGATCTTGAGGTGTTTTTCTCCTCAATAGTTATAACCATTCTTCTTACTACTGGATAACATTACCCAATTCAGTATTTACCCTGAATCTGGTGTGTTCTAAACAAATCTTCCTATAAGTGTTCTCTCATACTTAGTTTTGTTGAGGTGGACTTAGAAGTTCCAGTACTTTCAAAACAGATTCTAGTATAGATTCAAAAGAAATTATACTACTAGTGATGGGCACCAACTGCCACTGCAGTTGTTTGTTCCAGCTTGGCTGACAGCTGTACAGTTGATACACAGTTCAATGCTCTGGTCTGTGCCCACTCAGAAGCGGTACCCAGAAGAGACAGGGCAGGGAAGCTAGGGCATTTTGTGCCTATCTCTATGAATTACTCTTAAAAATGTAAGAAACCAATTAATTTTTTTATTAATTTTCAAACAATAAAAAGATAACAAATAAAATACTAACAAATCAACTTAAAACTAAACAAAACCACAATTATCATCCCTGTACAACCCCCACCCTCAGGACTAGTTAATATTTATGTTTTTAATCATATTTCATACCACCTAATTTATCTCTAAAAATACATTGATTCTTCTCCAGGTATAACCCTTTGTGTTTTTGAAATACAGATACCAAAAATAAATTCCATTGATCTTTGAAATAATTACATTTTAATATTTCTTTCCTTACCTTAGTTTCACAAGTTAGTCATTAAGAGCCATGTCCCACATTTCTTTATACCATTCTTCCATTTTAAATTGGTTATTATTTTTAAATTGGTTATTATTAAGTCTTAATACTTTAAATATTGTGTTTTATTTCATCTTGTTGTCCCCACCCCCAAATATTTCCAGGGTTGACTAGGTGCTTGTATCTCCATGATGCATGGAAGCTGGGACAGCACAACTTCGTATTGACTTAAAATATTTATGGAATGCAGTGTTATGTAGAAACTGGAAGTTGAATAAACATACAGACAATAAGAGCAAATCTTAAGAGAATATGTTGTGAAATAATTTGATTTAAAGAATCCTCAGTGTTAAACTAGTATTTAATACTTATTTTATGTACAATTTTGTGGGTGCAGAGGTTAATCTCATCTGGAGAGTAGGCTTCTGTCTACATGTATAAATGAAGGTTTCCTACTTTTCATGTAGACTTGCTCTGACAATATAAAATAGGGGTGGCTTCTGCATGTGCAGAGGTTTCTGCATACCATCTACTGGATCTCTGGTTTGTTTATAATGGGAAGTGAAGGAACATAATCCACATATCATATCTCTGTAAAATATTTGCTCTATTAAAGTTTCAAGAAAAGTACTTTCAAGAATATTTAGGTGATATAATGCCTGAAATTCTGTTGCTTAGCATAATTTGCACTAGAATAGACCCACTGAATCAGTGGAGACTTGATGAGTCAACTTCTCCATATATGCCATTGATTCAATTGGGCCTATTCTAGTTATAACCTATTACATTAAAGTACATCACAACTAGGTAAGCCCATTTGAATCAGTGGGTCTTTTGGAAGAGTTGACTCACCAAATCCCCACTGATTGAGTGGATCTTAGCTTAATAACTTACACTACATCTGTAATGTAATTTATTAAGCTAAGCAACAAGATTTCAGCAACTTTTACCGAAAGCAAAATTTAAAGCTCGTCTCAATACTCTTTTCAAAATATATTTTTGCAGTCTTCTGATGGTCTAGAAAATGTGGGTCCATTTTAAAGGCAAAATGTCTTAGGCTCTGTTTTATGCCTCTGTGTTGATGTTTAGCCAATACTATTCAATGGAACACAAGGCAATCATGTATCCACGTGGCTTATATGGAAGAAAAGCACTGAAAGTAGTATGTACCTGCACATACCACTATAACATTGTATGAAAACATTTGTTTTGAGCACCCTATTGATATATATCCACCAAAAATGGATCTTTCCCCAGATTTATTCAACTTTATGTTTGTCCCCATTAGAACAAATAGTGCTCAAAGGAATGAGGGTTATGGGTGAATCATTCATCTTGTATTTCTAATTGGCAAAAGGGGAAGGGGCAATCCAAATGAAGCAACATGTTGAATGGCATACATTTTTTCCTTGTCAGAGTTTGGGGATGAATCTGTGCCCTATTTAACACACCCCCAGTAGTTCCAGTCTTAACACTGTTGCAATATAAAGTTTCTAATTTTTTTCAGAGTTGTTCAGCCACATCAACAGATTTTTGATGAAGAAGAGATGCCAGCCAGTGAGAACGAAGAACCTGGGCCATCAATTCGGAAGCGCCAGCCAAGTATGTCTGAGACAATGCCACTGTACACATTGTGTAAAGAGGATTTAGAAAGTATGGACAAAGAGGTGAGCTAAATTCATCATGTGGAAGGCTTCAAATGATCAAACGTAATATACTTCTATGCCACACATTTTAATATGATTGAAGAAGTCAGATATTAAGATTTGAGGGCTGAGCTCTCAGATGTACATGTTAGCTTCAAATAGTAGAGTGAGTTATCATAATGAGTTTTGCTAAGAAGTTATGTGTGTGGGCAGCAAAATATTTTGTCTGTTTCTAAACAAGTAGCATCTTCTCAATTTTTAACTCTGCAGGGCGGGCTATTCCGAACAATTTTGTTGTTGATGCAGGGTCAGCTCTCCAACTTTAGTTATTAATCATCTATATGTCACTAAAATAATGAGAAAAATCAATGCACAAACTGTCAGGCATTTGAAAAGACTGTTGTGAGTGGGACATGAGAAATGAGAAAATAGAAATATTATCCTTTTTAAAAATTTCTTTGTCTGTAAGACGGACACATCATATGGGCATGCATGAGTATATCTGCCAGATATGCTCATATATCTCATCTATATTTACTGCCATTCAGTTGACAGTACAAGAATATATAGACTGATACCGATACATAGTTTCACAGTATCTCCCCTCAAAAGGTATTTAAATTATTATTTTCATATGTTTAAAGACATTAGTATGCATGTAACATCTTCCTAAACTGCAAAGTTGTTCTAAGAGATGTTGTGTAGTAATACCTTTAAAGACAGAAATTAGGAAAAATTGATATACTGTGGTCCCCCACTAGATGATTACCTCGCAAAACGGTTTATTCGCTATAGCGCTTCACAAAATGGTGTTTCCTATGGGCGATTTTTGCTGGACAGTGTTTTGGTCTGCGCTTTGCAAGATGGGTTTTTTTGGGGGGGGACCGTTTTTCGCAAAACGACGATTTTGACAGCTAGGTCCGCGACTCGCAAAACGGGTGTTTTAGGGACCATTTTTCGCAAGACAGCGATTTTGACAGCTGATCCGCGCTTCGCAAAATGGTTATCCTATGGGCGCTTTTCGCAAAACAATGATGATTTTTCCCCATTGGAATGCATTAAATGGATTTCAATGCATTCCAGTGGGGAACCGCATTTCGCAAGACAGTGTTTTCGCAGAACTGCGATTTTCGCGGAACGAATTAACATCGTCTTGTGGGGCACCACTGTATAGATTCTAATATATAGGTTCTAATTCAACTCAACTAAGTGTGCCAGAATTTGAAGTGCCTTTTGTCTTGTACGGAGAGAATTATTCAGGATATTTGTCAATATGATTTTTATATTAGCACATAACACACTGAAATCTTGTTGCTTAGCTTAGTGAGGCACAGTAGAGTGAATCAGTGGAACTTATGAAGGTCTATGGACTAATGTAGTTCCTATTTACTATGCTAAGCAACAGAATTCCTGCCTCTATTTTTGATCCTATTTTATTCAGGATGCATAGTGAATTTTAAGTATTTTACTTTGTTAAAATACTCCCGAATTTTAGCATTCAAATGTTATAGTGGCCCATTCAGTATGCTGTTTTTGCTTGTATAATAGTACTTACTATATAAATAAATACAGTCAACACTTTTTCATTGCTTTTGTTCATCACCATCTCTAGTTTTATAGAATGGTTCTGGAAGGCGTGACAGAGGTATAACACACTAGAGTTTTTCATCCACATCTCTAATAAGTTTCTGCATATGGTGGTTTGATTCACATAGCTTAACTAAATATACAGTTTACTAGAGATGGGGGTATTCGTATTCCCACACAGCTGGAATTAACGAGGGTCTGGCCACCGGGGCGGGACCATCCACTCGCATGTCCGCCGGCAGCAGCCCCACTCATCCTTCCAATCACTCCCAAGCGCCATTCTCTTCCCAGTCAGCTAGCCACTCCTGGCAGAGGGAGGGAAGACAGGTCTCCCTGCAAGGCTGCCAAGTGGCTAGACAAGTGGCACTCCAGATCAGTTGGATGGAAGAGAGGGGCCGCAGCAGCCGCATGAGTGGATGGGCCGGACCCTCGTTAACTCCAGCTGAGTGAGGATATTTGTATTCATATACAAATACAAATACTCCCATCTCTACTGTTTACCAGAGTATTTTCTGCCATGGTATGTACATGCATATGAAATCTTCTAATAAATTTAAGAATTAACTGGCATGTATCACAAGGGATCTAGCTGGAAAGTTGAAGTTCATCTTTTTGAATAAGTTACTTGTTGCATATTTAAGTGTGTTGTGGTTCTGGTTCACGTCAAGTAGCCACACAGATACCACAATTTTTAGACTTTTGCACTTGCATGTTGAAATTGACACAGAGCATGACAGGGCTGTTCGACATCATTCAGTGCCTGTAGTGTCCATGCACTTGCTAAATGACTGAATAGGATTACACTTCCTAAGTACAGTGGTGCCTCACAAGACGGGTGCTCCGTTTAACGATGAATCCGCATTACGACGAGGTTTTTGCGATCGCAAAAGCGATCGCAAAACACGTTTTAAATGGGGGAATTTTGCTGCGCAACGATCGGTTCCCTGTTTCGGGAACCGATTTTCGCTTCCCGACGATCAAAACAGCTGATCGTTGGTTTTCAAAATGGCCGCCGGGTGCTCAAAATGGCTCCCTGCTGTATTTAGGAGCCATTTTTCGCTTGCACAGGCACCTGAAAATGGCCGCCCCTATGGAGGATCTTCGCTGGACAGTGAGTTCTTAGCCAATTGGAACGCATTAACCAGGTTTTAATGCGTTTCAATGGCTTTTTTATTTTCGCTTTACGACTTTTTCGTTCTACAGCGATTCCGCTGGAACAAATTGACGCCGTAATGCGAGGCAGCACTGTACAGAGCAGATCTGAAACTGAAGATTGAAATCATGAATTTATTGTTCTGCAGTTTTATTCTGAAATTATTATGTTCAACTGAGAGACAGTTGAGCTTTTAGATACTTCGGTTCAATACTTTTCCCCATATTTATTTCATTTACATTGAATATCACTTTTAGTTCACACTTCACAACTCATCCCAACATCACTTGAAGTCAGAAGACAATCAAACAAGAAATCCAGGGACTCTCAAATATAAACAGACGGAAAAGACCCTTAGTTTCACATGTGTGCCTTTGTGCAATCCCCTTATAGAAGATGACCTTGAGATCCTTTCTATCTTAAGACCGGACTTGCAAAAAAAGTAAAACCTCAGTATTTGGATAATATAGGAAAGCTGCCCCCTCAGTTCATTTTATCTAATAGAGACAGTTTCTTTTTGTATGTACATAAATATATATCAAATTTGCTTCTTCCAGAGGGTAATATTTTATTGAATTTCATCTCTCCATTCTTCATTTCTTTTTAAGAATTGGAAAAATGCTAGATATTTCATAGGCAATTGGAAGGAATACTTGCAATCTATTTTTAAAAAAATTAAATAGGTCAGTGTTAAATCTCCCACTGCTGTGGAGAAATTGCAAGTATCCTGTAATATGAAAATGAGTAATTCCCCAAGCAGCAGTGTTTACCCTGAACAGTAAAATAAATACTCACCAAAACTGGTCTGTGCTTCAAGATACATTAGCTTTAAAATGGATAAACAGAAGCACTTCTTCAATTTTTTAATATTCTCAGTTCAAATGTGCAGAAGCTTTGTTAGTCTCCTCCTGGTCAATCAGTTGGAGACAGTGGGTTCCATTCTGCATGGCTGATGTCCAAGAATAAGTGTGTGAAGTGTACCTTTTTTGGGTAAAAGTGTATCTGGATAACATTGGGAGTAAAGGAGACTGCCACAATACAAATATTTTTTCAAAATGAAATTGATCAGGAATAGTTGGAGTAAAGGGCAGAAAATAATAATCTTTTGAGATACCATGAGGACAATTTCATAAGTCAATTTCAACTGGTATTTACAAAGACCAAAATAACAAAGTCTCCTTGTTCATTTTAGTTGTGATTCTTGCCGCAGTCTAAAAGGGGGATATATTCTCATTGTTTAATGTCTCCCTGTGGAGGAGAGAGAAAATGAAAGTATGACCTGCAATAAATAGTTGTAATCTGTTCTCAATCTTTAAGAGAAGTTCAGGCAGCAATCGGCTGGGAAGGGTTTTTTTAATATTCACCATGTGGAGAAGTGATTTGAGGAGAGAGTATATTTTTTCCTCCTCTCCACCCACCATCCTCTCAGGTCATGCCTTCTCCTGCTCCGAGCTTTAGAAGTATTCAGTTTGAAGTTAGCTGCAAATCCCAGATCTGAGCATTCAGGCAGTGGGTGTCTTCATGAAACATCCATGAATAATAGTGTTGTTCTGAAAATTTATCCCATGTGAATTTCAACAATTTCTTTCCAATTTTGTAGGAAAGATATACCTTTCAAAAAGCAATTCAGAAGAGGAATGATGAAAGGAGACAAAAGTTTACACATTCTTCTCTATTCATAAGAGCTACTCCAGGATAGATTATGTATTTAGGGAAGGGACAACACCCTCAAAACCATTTTGTGTGTGTGTGTGCTCTTCTCCAGCATTTTTGGTTTCCACCAGCCCTTACACTCTCCAAAATAAATAAATAAGTGTGTGTGTGTGTGTAACAATTTGATATCGAGAATAGTTAAGACTGAGGTCAGATAAATACATGAAGAAATCATGCTTCATTAAATATGGATATTAAAATCAGATAAAGACTAGATTTTAGTATTCATCAGCAAAAGAAAATAATAGGCAAAATAGAAAAAGAGATGATGGAAATATGAGAAATAAATGATAAGGAAAGATGGGTAATATATGGGACATTATGAAACTGGTGATGAGAGGAAGTGGATTATTGATTAATCACAGCTTCAAAAGAGAGGGAGAAAAACGTACAAAAAAGTTTGAGGATGAAATACATTTGTTGGAAAGAAAATATATGATAGAAAGGTAACAGAATTATAGTTGAAATATCAGCAAAAAGGGAAGAATTAGAGAATATGGAAATTGAAAGAATTCAGAGGAATTTAATATATCCGAGAAGATAATATTTTGAGTTTAATAACAAAAAT